CTTTGAATATAAATAAATAGATAATTACAAATTCCGTTAGATTATAATAAAGTAAATAGTATAAGTATTTCTTAATATAAAAGAATACTAAATATTCTATTCTTTTTTATTTTTTAATATAAGAATATATTCCTTCTTTATTTAAAAGAGAACGAATAGTATAAAAGTTATAATAAGCTTTCTAATAAAATCTATAACTCTTATCTATATAATTGTTTTTATTACTCGAGTATATTAATATTATAATACTATATACTTTTAAAGAATTCGAATAACTTGAAACTAAATAGAGATTAAAAATGAAGATTATTTTAATAGATCTAATTTTCGTATTTCTATTAATAAGGATTCTTCTATTTGATTACCTAATAACTATATGAAATTTGATCTAATTTTCCCTATATAAAGAGAAATAATCCCTGCTTAGCTTTTCCGAATTCTTCAAAAGTATACGGGTATACAAAAACTGTAAAAACATACAACAGCAGGGATTCGCTGGTGGTCACCCACCCAACTACTAATCTGCCGATCTAAGGCTTGTGTATGGCAGAGCGGACGGGATGCCCAATTCTCCTTAGTCTATGGTCGTATGTGATGGTGGAGGGACTTTTAAAGATTATGATGAGTATTACTATAGTATATCAATGGTCCATTGAGCTCTCGATTAATCATTGGGGAATCACCTAGTGCATTATCAAAATCCTGCACCCCCCTTATCATACCTCGGAAGGTAGGTTGACCACCGACATGTACGGTGACCGAGTCCAGTCAGCTGCTTTGCATCTAAGTCTTATCGATATCGATAAGAACTGTTTATCCTACAAGGCTGTGAACTTGGAGAATTCATATTGTAGCCATGAGATGAGGTAACTTGTGTATTAATTCGTTCCTTTCTTTTTCTTCTTCTTGTGAAAATTGCCCCTCTTTCCTATCAGTCATCTCGTTTGTAATCTTACTTGACCATGGAATTTCAACTTTCGAGAATCACCCTGCATACTAATGGATCTACCAAATACTGATTGCGCCGGTGAATCAAACGCTCAAAAAGTACCACAAAGGCGTTTGAAGCGCAAAACCCTTGCAGAATTACCAGTACAACCGTCGAGTTCCCATACGAAGGAGAATAAGCATACAGAGAGCACCACTGTCTGTTATAAAATAAAGGGCATATTGAGTGAACGGAAATTTGGTAAAACCACGGAATTTCTGATTGATTGGGAAGACAACCCAGTTACGGGGGAAATTTACGAGCCAAGCTGGGTATGATGAACTCCTAACACAGTATCGCAGAGTGCTCAAAACTGACTGGGAGACGCTTCTAGGAACCATATTCAAATGTCACACCAGTCGCGATTTATGAATGGGAAAATACACAAGCAATCCGCGCATACAACTCCCAATCACAAAATACAACCTCACAGGATAGCGAACCTATAAGACCGCCGAAAAGAAGGAGAACTAATAACCCTGGAGCCCCAGTCTCGTTGGAGAAAGGACAAGTTCAGATTCCCAATACAGCCACCGGAGGGAGTGTCGTATCGAAGAACAAGGTCCAGGAGATTAAGGACAGTTACGAGGACGAAGACTCAAGTTTTGGTGATCGTCTGTCAATTGTGATACCCCCCAATAAGGATATAAATCCGGAAGAATATACTGTGGTGAGGTCGTCTCAGCTGTCCAATTACTCGAACTCCCAAGCAAATCTACAATCATCGTCTCCTTTGCAAGTTCAACAAGCTCCACCAGATTCTCAAATAGTTATTCCACGTAAAAGATCAGCACCAGCCTTTATTTGGGATGAGGATATTGTACCAGAATCCCAATATTCAACTGGTTCTAATCCATACAAATCTTCCTTTACGAGAAGCGCAAGTGATTGTGAAGAAGACGTTCAATCGGTCCAACCCGAGATTTCGGACCGAGTCCGGAAAGGTATTACCCGCAGTAGTCCAGAAGCCATTATTACACAGCATACCGATACCGTCCATACCGTCGATACCGTTACCGTCGCGACTAAGTCTAAGACTGACGAGCGGCAACAAGAAGATTTCAGTAATAATATAAATCAAATACCAGTAGAGACTTTTGAAAAGTCCTCAATTCCGGATAGTTACATAATTGACCACAATTCATCATTAATTGATCTAATTCCAGCACAGTCCGCCCCACAGGTATCCTTGACACTGACACTGACACCGACACCGAAACCACAACAACACCTAAGATCACAACCATCTCAAGTATCTACAGTCTCGGGTCTCTCTCCAGCGACAAAAACACCACTTCCTGAATCTCAACAGAGTTTTGATCGACCACCAGAAGAAGCAGAGAAATCTGACTACCCTCAGAAGCATTTACAGTTGCAATCATCGTTGGAGATACCCGATTCGTATCTTGTGAGCGATCCTTTCACTAAAAGGTAAGTCTATCATCCCTTATCCCCTTTCTATAGAAACGTCTGCCTCGCATTAGTCTTCACCTTATACTCAACGAATCAAGGCTTACACAGTTATTTAGTTCTCAAGGCGTAGACGTGCACATCGATAGCCAATATCGTGCTTCCTCTTTGCCTACCAATCAGTCTCAAACTAAAACGGTACTGTCTGATTCTCAACGCTCTCAATCACTTCCCTCAGCTACGAGAGTTAACTCAAGTTCGGAAGAAACTTGGCAGGCTGCACAAATTGTCACCCAAGTTCCCAGAACTCCATCGCAAGAGCTTTACCGTGAAAAGTCCCATTCACAGGGCTCTAAAGACCACGTGCAGATTGATAATTCCCAGATCTCAGACCCCACACATCCGAAGCTGAGCGATCGTCGCCATCTCACAAGCTCTGTATCGGAAGACCATCGTGTTAGAAATAACAGCGGCATCGGCGCTGAAGTGCCTGAAATCCAGCCATCGGCGTCCAAACTGTCCGCAGGAGCAGCTTCCATACAAGTATTAGCGAGCATTGCAGATCTCCATAACGCGCAGCTGCAGTCTCTAAAACCGCAATCGTCGCAAAATCTGGCAGAGTTAGCCTGGTCCAGCAGCAGTGATTTACCGCCAAGACCTTCACCTCACTCTCTTGTGAAAATGTCAACACTTGGATCAGGCGCTTCTTATCTTGCTGTTGATGAGAGAAGAGCGAGATCAACAAAGTCTAGATCCCCATTGACCATTCCTCCTCGGGTAGCAACTGCACCACCAGCCCCATCGAACAACCATCCATTACCTATGCGGGACAGCATTGCTGATACTACAAGGCCACGCAACATGGCACCTTCGATACCAAGGTCTTCAGTCGAGGAGTCTGCAGATACGAACCCCGACATATTGACTGTGCGCAAATTAGGAAGAAATGAGTTCATTATTCCGCTACCTATGATGACTCAGGTCCGTGATGTGTATGACACTACGATTAAGAACAAGAAGAATGATATCATGTCTTTTGTGGGGGGTTCAATAGCATTAGATTCTGAAAGCATGGACATGATGCTCGAGGAACTAAAATTGATCTGTGATCATCAAGACTTAATTGTGGAGGAATCTTCGACGCAGAACCTAGATGACAGTGCGCAAGCAAGGTATGCTGTAACTATCAGCACCAAATTCTTGTTTATTCAACAATTTCTGTCTTCACTCCGAGTAACTAAGGTTCATGTGGTAATATTAGCACGCGATGCGATTCTACCTATCCTTGAAGCACTCTTCAGATCACAGAATTTTTACTACAACCGCCCCGACATGCCAGGAAATATGTCTGAGAATCTGGGGAAGTCTGAAGAGGATATGATGCAGATCACGCTACTTCCGACATGGATTGATGTTCGTGATTGCATTGTTGCTCCTGCTTCAGTGGTTGTGGCATTTGACTCGTCGTTTTCAGCATCCCAAGGAGAAGATGAGCATTATCAAGCCCTACCTTTCGACCCCAGAAACCCGGATAAACGGGCACCTTTATTGTGGCTCGTCATTACAAACTCCGTTGAGCATGTGGAACTATGCATACCTACAACGCTAGAATCGTCAGAGCGGAAGGATAGGTTAGTCCAGTACGTCGCTCGAACTCGAAAGGTTGTCGGTCTCTTGGATACGAGCATCTACCCTGACCCCGAAGTCGCCGCCAGAGGAGCTGCAGAGTATGTTCTTGATGATTCGTTGGAATCCGAATGGTCCTTACTGCCAATGCCAAATATTGATGTTTCGTTACCCAATCATGGAGCGAACAACCGCTTATCGAATTCATTGACACAATCTTTGTTTTCGCCATTGGAACCAAATAATCAATCCGGCTTTAAGCGACCATCCGTAAGTACACCCTCGCTAGCGTTGCTATCGTGATACTGACATCTTCAGAATTTTGATGCTGTAGATGAAGATATTGTGATCAAGCGTCAAAGGATGACACCTACCAGGCAGGGTAGAGAACCCGACTCCAACATCATGAACGGCACCATTGTGGAGTACCAGAAGAAGATAAAATCGTTGTATGATCGATGCGAAGATAATGAACGAAGCATTAATCGGATTCAACCAAAATTTCAACGCGCTCTCGACGATAGAGCTCGCTTCGAACACGAGAACGCGCAAGCTGTAAAACGTCAAGCCGAATGCGAAAAGAAAATGGAAGTACAGGATGAAGCAGCCGCCAAACTCCGTGAAGAGAACGCTTCATTAAAGAATGAGGTCGCTGTTGCCAGAAACTCTCTTGCTACCTCTGAAATTCCGTCCATAGCCGAAATTCAAAAGGCCAAAGACGATCTTCGTACCGCACAAGCCGAAATCGAACGTCTCAAGAAAGGTCAGACCAGTGCAGAAAAACGAGCCGATTATGCGGCATCTATTTATCAAGAAAGCTCTCAACAAGCTCAAGAAATGCGCAATGAACTCGCAACCCTCCACTCCGAACGTAAGGAGCTCCGACACCAAGCCTCCGCCGCCCGTATCGAGATCCAGAAGATTAATCACGATGGAATCATACAACAACAATGTGATACGATTGATGAACTGAAGAGAGAACTCGCGGAAAGAGAGCGGATGCTAGAGAGGGTTACTGGACAACTGGATGCATATATGAATGGACGCAGAACAACACGAGGTACTAGTGTTCCCAGAAGTCCAAGAGTGAACAACATGAGTCCGAGACCGAGAGTATTGGGTAACATGGCACCGGGAAGCAATACGGCGAGTAGGGGAAATAGTCCCACGCCTGGTCTTTTCGGAGGTGAGTTATTTCAGGGTAATGACACGGGCAAGAGATTCGGTGCACATCTGCAGTAGGGTGAACAGATAGATTTGATGGTTGGAGAAAAAGAGTTGAGGACGAATCGAATCTCAGAAGTCCCATTTGGGATTTTCGACATCAGTTTTTAGTGCATACATGCGTACATGCGTGGCGGCGGACGAAAGAAATACCAAGAAATAATACATGCACACTCAAAGAAATAATTGTACATATGGACGGATATACGGATGGATGGATGAATAGGTGGAAACCTGCAACTATCCATCCTATCAACGCGAAATTCCGAGCAAAAGAGAAAATGAACGGGAGGCAGGGTCAATGGGGAGAATTTGATTACCATAAGGCGTTACAGCGTTCGTGAGATACCGGGAAATCGAATCTTGATCTTGATCTTATTGGCTTACTTGAGAGTACTTATCTTACTTAGCTGCTATTTACTGACTGGGGGGTGGGGGCGGCAAGATTTGTTGATTGTTTGCAGAGGTATGATATGAAATGAAATGAAATGAAATGAAATGAAATGCCATTTTGCGTTTACAGAGAGAAGAGGTAAGATCTTACAAACGAGAATACTTTATGGATCTTAGGTTAGGTTGGGGGGAGGGAGAAGGGCAGGGGAGGTGGGGATGGATATATATGAGTGCGTTTTACAATTACAATAAATACCTATTTGCATTGTGTTTCTACTGTATGGTGGGGAGGAATCTCAAGGCTGTGATTCTTAAATCTATGCGTTGCGTTGTATTGCGATTTGGATTGATCGATGATCTTCGCCATAGATGGACTCACACAATGATGTTCACATAGCCATTGATGTAAAATTAACTATATGAACATTGTAAATTTAATTTTTGACCATTGCAGATTGTATAACTATCTAGCTACGTTCGTGTCCAGCAACCTGCCAAGATTTCTTCCTCCCTTCTCTCTAATTTTCCACTAGTGACTCAATTATCCATCCCGTCCTTCATTAGTTCTCCACCGAGAACATCCTTCCTCAATTTGTATTACGGTATGAAGACCTCCTCTGGCACAATGCTAGCCCTCACTTACTGAGCCACCAAAGAAACGCCTAATCATCAATTCAGATGATGGAGCAATACTACCATCAGCAATTGTAGTAAGTATGATCTAAGAACAAAGCTGGCATGCAAGAAAGATTTATTGGGTATGTGAAAAGAAATAAACGCCGGTGTTGACCCCAGAATAAGAAACACATCGTCGGTTGCTTTTGGAATTGATGGTATATCAGTGCTTGGACTGAGCACTCATTGTTTCCTCTGCAGGATCTCGCCCTTGGACTGAGCAATCATTGTTTCCTCTGCAGGATCTCGCCCGGACAACTGTCGCTGGCCTACAAACTTTTCGGCCGCTGGATGACGAAAGCGGCCCGGGTCTTTCTCTCCGTCCTTTCTTCCTGAGTGAGTGAGTTGCCTGCTTGATTGATCGCGTTCTCGTGAACCAGCTGACAGCGGGGAAGATGGAATTTCTTGTACGTCGGGGAAATTGGTTTGATCTAGAAGCATTTCGTCGTGACCATCTTCAGTCAAATCCACCCTGTTATCATTCCTCTTTTCGCTCTTGGCACTACTGACCAGATCAACATGATTGCTACTGAAGCTCATTTTCTTCGATTGTGACACTCTTGAGTTATCTAGATCCGGTGATGGTGAACGTAAAGCTTGGAAACACTGCCTCGATTTCGTGCTGTGATTCAGTCGTCGAGGTAAGTTCATGCCAGAATGTGTGTCCACACTATGGGATGGGTTTTCTAAAGCTTGAATACCGTCCTGCCCTTGAGACTCGGGTACAGGTTTGGGACGCGAGACCCTGCCTTTTGAGGCTGTTTGACCAACATCATCCTTTTTGCCTGGTAGAAAAAAGTCGTAAAGGATCTTGCCGACAACCTTGCCAATACCATTCGTAGCACCTTGAGAGTCCGAACCAGGAAGACTTTCACCAACCTGTGACTCATTGTCCCCATCTCGATCGAGCTCAACGACAGTCTTCGGTTGTTGAGCCAATGGTTGGCGGTTCGCAATTTCCTGGGTGCTTTCTTGATCTTCGAAAGAATCAGGGATTTCGACGCGTACAGGAGGTTCGGAAGGGCCATATTTGACCGCAGAATTCGTAGTTTGGCGAGGGTCTTTGTCACGACCCCTTGCTCTAGATCTCTCTTTAATTGTCCTGTTGTCTACATTCTTAACTCGACTTAATGTAGACTCTTCTACGCATTGTTCTTGAAAAATATCCTGGCTATCTCCAATACTGATGACCTCTTCACTCTTGAGATTTTGCGCTGGATTTTGGGCCATCCTTGCCGCGTCCGTCAAAGTATCATGATTACGACCTACATTTCGAGTAGAAATATCGGAGACAGGTTGTTGTCTGAAACTGCGTAATGCAGAAAGGGACGCTGTTTGGAGGTTAGGCGGTTCAGTCTTGTCAATGGGCATGAGTGGGGCATCCTTCCGTCTTTTTGCTAGCTTCGTCTTTTTAGCTGCCTCCGATCCTCGTGCCTGTTCTGCCTGAAGCTCGAAGAGAAGCTCTCGAATCTTGGCACGAAATGCCGGTGCATCATTCCGATCGCCATCAACTTCGTGCTTATTCTCCATGATGTCTTCTATGAAGCCATCGGGACGTTCAAAGAATTCCTCCATGTAGCTTAGGAGGTAGACGCCGCAATCACAAAAGTTGCCTTGTAAAGGAAGTCCTTTGCCTAGATATCTTCCTGTGCCTTCATCTATTGATTGTGTTTTTGCTGCCATGCCGAGATTTTTCGGGGGTGTAATTAAGGTGCCTTTCTTTGCTTTGATTTCGGCAACCATATAATCTCTCAGATTGACACACGTAGGAGAGTGCTTCAAACCAAGCGAATCAAGAGTGATGATTCTAGGTTGCTTTGGGTCGTAATTGCGAGTTGCAAGACGTCTCTTGCCCTTTGCCGCGGAATCCGCCTTTGCTGATGGCGAGCTTGATTGTGCTAGATTGATTACATGCGTGGCAGACTTGCTTGAGGCGGCGTTGCCGGTTTCAACTTCCGGTGAGACAGAGGGCAATCCGTGGTTGTTAGGAGGGACGCTTTCCGCAGGTTCGACATCCAAGGGAGTTTCATTTTCCGTTGTGTTGAACAATGATAAATGTTCGAAACTGTTGTCAACTCCAGTATTATGTGTATCATTTACAGATATCTTAGGGGTGGGCTGCGGCGATTCAGATGGTGTTATAGGCTTGCTCGTATCACGAGACTCTATTCCTCTACCTCTATCCAGCTCAATATTCGCACCATTCTCCACAGATTGCAACTGCTCCTTGGTCTCTGTATCGAGAAGCTTGGGTGCGTTACATATGATCGCCACATACCAATGAGCGTTCTCGTTGACGGGAACAACAATATAATCATATGTAAGAAGATCAACTTTCGCTGTCCATCGCTCAACAGCTTCATAATTGATCCCTCTCTTGCCTCTTACAGTCTTAGTTAAGCTTGCGTAAAAAAACGTGTTATGGACGTAAACCCGATTAGTCAACTTCGGATGTTGCTGCTCGAGCCAGAGAAGATAGAACATGATAAGATTATCGTTCAAAAACTCCCCTTCATCAAGTCTGTAAATATCTTGCTTGTCGACAGTAGCAGTTTTTTTACCGGTCTTAGGATATACGACAGATTTATGCCAATCCTCTACCCAACCTGTATTGACTTGTGACCAACGTTCTGGTTCTGGACTGGGAGTTCTTTCCTTGGGCGCCGTTTTGTATGACTCAGGCTTGTCAGCGCTTCGTAATGATGCACGACTTCCAGTGGCCTTGCTTGGTGCGTCATAAAAGTTTGCCGGGCTAATCTCAGACTTGTTCGACCGGACTTTGTGACCACCCGCATTAAATTCAGTTTGCATGGCATGGATGAGCTTGGGCCTCTTGGGTGGATTCAAGGCGATATCTTCGTTCCGCGAGCCGAATTTTCGAGTCCTTCGTTGTCCATCAACATCCATGCCGCCTTCCCTGTCACCTTGGCCGATCCGCTTGTGTTCATTGGCAACCATTAATTTAATATCATCAGGTTGAGCGAGATCCTGCTTAAGTTTCTGTGCTGCTCTCTGTCTCAAAAACTTTGTGAGCTCCTCGCGAACATGGTGGAATATGCTATCCATTTGCCTACAGATGAAGTTAGCGATATATAGAGTCTGAGGTGAATTTTAACCAACGTCGAGATCTCCCATATTGTTTTCATTCCTGGCTGTTCCAAAGCATCTCCCGCAGTCTTAGCAATAAGCTCATTGTAGAACTCAATATATATCCTAGGGCCTCTAACATTGATACGATCTGAAGACTTCCAGAGTACAATCTTAGAAGACCCCTGAGAGCGTTTGAGCTTTTTGATAGATTCTGATGTGATAACGAAACTTTTGACAAATTCTCCCGAGTCATCAACAAGTGTCAGATCTCTAGTATGTATGTCTTGAAGCATGAAAAAATCACCCAAGGACGACTTTGGATCAACCCAATACTCACTCTCCGAAAAGAGGCTGATGACTCTATATTTCTCGGACATTTCCTGCCGTGGTTCTTTTTGGTTGCCGTTCCCACACTTGCCAAAGTCTGTGCGTGCAATATCTCCCTCTGTACTTAGGCTCTGCTCATATTCGTAGCTTTCATCACCGCCGTCATCATAGAGCTTCTTCTTGTCATAGGATTCGTCAGCCTCTCTTCTAATCGACACCTCAGGCCAGTTTTCTTTAGCGAGCTCATCCTCACTGCCATCCTCTACTGGTAAGTCGCCCAACGCGCGTCTATTTTGCATTAAATTGAGAGAAATCTGCCTAGAGGGCTGTGAGTGCAGAAAGTTCAATGGTCTTGAAGGTCCCTTTGCTCTTGAATGTGGAAATTGACGTCCCGGTGGAAGGTGTGCATTGCCATTGAAAGGAGTTTCCACTCGAGGAGTAATTTTGGGCGTAGACTCTGGAGCCTGCAGCTCATCTTCAATAGGGTCTTCGGAATTACGTAAATGTGAACTGTTTACGATCCTCTTAGCATTGGCCGTCTGTTCTGCTCGGAAACCACTGTTTCCATTGATAGAATCCTGGCTTCCTACTTTGCGGTTAACTTTATGGCTGTGTGTGCTTTTTTTTTTCCCTAGCTGCACTAAATCATGGACCGCTTGGTATTCTTTTACACGGTAATCTGGAAAATTCCTTTCGGGGCCAAATTCTAGGTAAGAGGAGTTATTGTACTGACTCTCTGTGGAATTCTGCCTCACATGTCTCTGATCCTGTTTGGGTTCCTGATCGAGATTGATGTCTTTGCTGATCATGCCATTTCTGGTGAAAGAAGAAGCCTCGGTTTTTCGTCTTTTGTAGGATCCACCAGAATGGGGGTCGAATCCCCTGTTGTGTGAAGGTGTAGCAGCAGTTTGTGGATTCCCCAGCCTATTCACTGGCTTTATTGGACCTTGGGGGGAAGTTCTGGCCTTTTAATTGTTAGCCAGAGGAACATTACAATGCCAACAGGGTGGAAGACATACCATGTTTGTATTTGTCTGGGTGACTGCTTTGGGGGCTTGGGGGGTTCGGGAACTGCAGAGGGGTCGTCTCAGTTAGCATAAGAACATAATACTCGACAAATTGTAAAGGGAATAATCATACACCTGGGGATTGTTGGTATGTTTCCTGTAACGACGTGCAAAATCCCTGCATGCTATTTTAGCACATACCCAATTTTGAATTTGTTCATCCACCAATTCTCATACCACTCGTTCTTCTTTGTAGTCTTGCTTGGGTCTGGAGTTCCTTGCTCCTGCGCATCATCATCAACCGCAGTTATTATTGCACTGTGAAAATTAGTTTTGAACCCATAGAAATCTGTAGCTTCTCCCCAATAGTTTTCTAGAAAGACATACCTATGATCATCTAAACCATCCACATCATTGATGTGTACAATTGTTGATTTCTTGTTACTAGCATCGGAATCGGATAGTTCAATGCTCTCAAGATGTGAAACTTTTTGGATGTTCTGCAGGTGCATCATGTTAGTTAAAAGCAGCGAGGCTAGCTTAGACATTTAATGATAGATAGATAGTCTTAGATAGATTGGTAGCCTTGTGGCCGAGAGGTACCCCAGATGTGATAGACGATAGACAGATAAACAATCTTTATTGATAGATACCCTACAAGCACCAAAGAAAGACTTACATTTGTCTCTGCTTGTTCCAAATCATCTATATGAAAGACAGAACCATTTGATTCCAATTCGCTTTTTCCTGCGATCTGCCCAAGTGCTTTCTCTATCCCAACTCCATTATTTCCATCTATCTCGGAAATATGTTGAGGATTCATTAGTGAGTGATGGAATGAGTGATTGAGTGAGTGAGGCCCAATAGTTTCAATACTATCGATAAAACTTTGTTGTCTTCTGGAACATGGTGTTTGTGCTCCTACACTGCTGAACCTTTCATATGTGTGCTTCTGCTGGTGACTTGTCTGTCGGAGGTTGTTGTTGAAGATGTTTGAGATTGTTTTGAGAGATTTGATGTCCTCGAGATTTAGTGAGGTCCTGGTGGTCAAGGCTCGCTTCTGAATGGTTGCTTTTGAAGTTCCTTCGGCCTCAGCGGAATCAGGATCATCAATTACCACAAGATTTTTGGGTTTGATCAAGGGATCATATATGTCCAGAGGAGCAGTTATTTCATCTGAGTTTGAGATAGTTCGGAGTTTTGATCCTTTTTCAGAAAATCTTGTTTTGTTTTCATCCTTTTTTGATTTCCATTGTGTAGCCTGTGGCTTCTCAATAGAATCCATGCCGCCAAATGATTTTTATCAATTCCTGCTCATGGAGGGTTCTTATGGATGTTCTGGACAAGTTGTTCTTACTATAGTAGTAAACTAGTTAGCTGTGTACCTAGGGACTTTGAAAGAATACTGTGTAGTTGCTTTTGCACACATTGTATACATTGCACGAATAAAACTGGGTGACATCTTACTGAAAACCTATCCCTTTAGTTGGGACCTTGAACTGGAAGGTGCAGAGTTTGTTCTTGCAGGTTGAGAAGTGAAACTTTACATATGGCCAAAGGTGAGAGCAACACACACTATCAATGACAATGAAAGATGGGGAAGATAGAAGTTAGAATGGAGACTTACAGCTGGTTCTTCGAATATATTTCTTGATCTAGAAAATAAGTACAGTAGCTTGGAAAGATAATTTGCTACCAAACCATTGAAAAAGGAAAACGGAAAACCATAGAGAAACTTGCCTGGTTGCACAATAAATGGTTGTGTTAAAATGAAAGTATTGGGATGATGATTCGATTAAGGATAGAGGGAAGACTACCAATAATAGAGTATTCAAAAGTGAATACCTGCCGCTGCTACCTACTTACCACCTCTGGAGTAGCCTGGCAATTCAATCTTGTCTAAGGCAAGGCAAAGCTCCAACCTGTTTATTTAGAGCCTGCCGTGAAGCCAATATAACAAATTCTGGTAAGCTCTAGGAGTCTCTCAGCACACAAGATTGCGATAGAATCATAGCCTACTACAATGTAATAAGATTATAATACTTGCAATGATATACGTTCAATATGAGAACAAACTACAACAATAAACTCATTCCAGATAGATATCATGAAGTAAAAGGTTATGATGAACGCATCTAAATAATCAGTCATATGAACTAACAAATTGATCTCAATATACTAGCCAACTATATCAAACATGATATGATTGATGTAAGGTTTCTAACCTAAATTACCTAGGGCTGTAACTTGAATCATCTCATGTTGAATGATATGCTTAACGCAGACTCACTTTACGCAGTGAGTCTGTGGTATCTTTGACTTGACCTGGCCAACAGTATGGCTATCCAGTTAAATCGATTTGCCCATAGATATGTTCCTGAAATATATGTTTTGAGAATGTAGTTGCTTTTGGATGAGAAAAGGCAATCGAAACATATATATCTATCATTCGAACTTTGAGATATGGATTCAAATGATATAAGCTGGTGATTGTGCACATCTGTATGACTGATATTTGACAGCCCTAACCTCAAAATACCCTTCTCCCTCTTCCCCCTCCCCCCGAACCATTTAGTGACATCTCCACAAGTTTGTAGGTCGATGGCAGCAATGAACAGCGATGTCCTCCTCATCACTCAATACAAAAGTAATCGACAAGTCTTTTCATTACTGGTGGGTGGTGGATTGTAATTCTTAAAACAGCTGTACAAATAAGAAAAGTCGCAACTCAGAGTCATGAAGCACTCCATCCATCTACAGTATGGCCTCCCCTTCATCACCACCATCATCATCTACTTAGCCTCTGGGTAGAGGTCCTCCTTCAAGCTCACACCCAATTCTTCACGGAGTGGCTTAAGTTCCTCCAAATATTGATCATATTGGCCGCGGTTCTCAACCTTTGCCTTGATTCCTAATGTGTAGTGATGTCAGCCTTGGGCCTCTCCAAAACTATGCCTAGTAACCACCCCACTTGCGAGATACAAAGTAAATAGTACGTACCTTCGAAGATCCGTACAGCTGTGGGGTAATCGTTTACTCTTCTTGCAGCCTTTAGTGCGGCAACGACGACTGATGGGGAAGGTACGAGATCGTAGGCAAAAGCGTTGTTGAGATTTCGCTATTCCAAGACAAATCATACGACAATCAGCAATCTGTAGGCATGCATGTAGAGAGGATTTCAGGAAAGATAGAAGATGGATGAAAAGAGCACATACCTGAAGCTCAAAAACATCTTGAACTTGCTCGAATTCCTTCTCAAATCTATCAGGCCATTAGCCAACCTTGGAAGTTCATGTTGACCTTCATTCGGCTTGTTTCGGTTGTGCAGGAACATGCTCGAACGCGAGCAATTTGCCCCCTCAATTGAAGACCGACGTACCTAGCCGTGAATTCCTCGAAGCTCTCCTCGTGGTGAGAAGCTTCTTGCCCGTCCTTATCGGCGACGGCAGACAGACTGCGGCTTGTAGTGCTGAAACAGCTGGTAGAGGTTGCGCTCACGGTTGGGGCAACACGGGAAGTGAAGCTTCGGAGTCCATTAGATCGGAAGATGGCTGATGGCTGCGCGCGCGTAGCAACACGCAGAATTCTAGTTGACGACATTAAGAAAAGCTGTTATGGTGAAATAACTCGAGAAATCGTGGGTTTTGGACGGGTTCGTGACTTTGCAAGTTTCGAACAATTTCCAGTGATTGGTTGTTGCTTAGTCATCACCAGCCGAGGCCGCTCTTAGCATCCCCGCGATGGAAAATAAGGCTTGAATTGATGACATCGATTTTTTCACAGATGAAGTATAGTTAGTACTAGGTATTTGATAGCCCTTTCAAGCAACGGTTCTCAAGTTCATAAATCATTTCATCGTCCCCATGAATTACTAGGTACTCTCAAAGCACCGCTTTATTGGGTGAAAGAGGTAAAACGGGATTAGATCAAATGGTTAATAGTGATAATTACATTTCAACTTGGCCAATTTCTAAAGGCCTACCTTTCCAGGGACGAATTATTTGCTCGCTAGAGGAAGGGGTTGGAGAAATGGGATTCTATATAAGAGACTACTTGTACCTAGCTAGGTACTTTAAGTCTTTAACACTTTAACAGATCAATGGTCTATGAATATGCTAAAGATCTTGAAATGCCCTTGAGAATATAGATAAGTAGATAATTTAGCATGTTTTGGATATATTTCCTTCATTGATTCTTGACCCAGGGTAACCTAATTACTTTCACATATGATGAACACTTGACATTGTTGTTTCTATAGCTACCTAGGTAGCTACCCTCTACCCTCTACCCTCTACTCTATTCTTTATTCTTTATCCTCTATCCTTTACCCTCTACTCTCTACTCTCTACTCTTTACCCTTTACTTTACCCTCTACTCTCTACTCTCTACTCTTTACTCTCTACCATCTACCTAATTAATAACTAACATCATCAGATGAAAGCTACTAAACTTGTGTTTTGAGCTCAACAGGTTGTTATATGGGGAGGAAATACATACACAAAATTAGCAAAATGGGTGTTGTTAATAGAAATACCTAGACTTCTAATTCCAATTGTCTAATTTTTAATAATTCAAGAGAAACCATTGCTTGCACACTTCTTCCTTGTAAAAGTCGGTGATATCGAAATCACATGTTACCAACCAACCAAGGTGTTCTCTCAAAAATCCAATTTCGGTAATGTCCCCCATTCCCGACCGACCCCTTTAAGGGAAAAAAGTAAATGATATTAAAATAAATTTACCTACTCCATTTACTTCTTCTTCTTCCTCGTCACTCCTTCATTGAATTCCTTGTCATTTTTTCTTATCTTATTGTGAATTCATTAGGAAAGAATCAATCAATCAGGTTGTTTTCGTCAAAGCTTAATTGAGAAGATCGTTGTCTATAGTCCAATCTACTTTTGTTGCGCTGTAAATACCATCTCGCCTGAACGAATTCCACTTCTTTTAAAGAACACGCGACATCTCAACAGTATTGTCGCAGATTCAATTAAGGTCAACAACATAGCAACGTCGGGCGCAGTTTTGTTGTTATGTCGTCAAGCGGATTAGATATGAAGGCATTCCCTTTGCCAACAATTGAGAAGCCATTCGGGGTGGAATTATGGCCTATCTTCGACAAGGCCTTCACCGCGGTCAAAGGTTACCATCCACAAGACTTCGATTTTCAACCACGAGTTACGCCTATGTCAACATTGAAGGAGAGCGGCTTCACAATTCTAGCATACTACGTTATAATATTTGGTGGAAGGGAGTTGATGCGAAATCGACCGGCCTTCAAACTGAATGGTCCTTTCATGATTCACAACTTCTACCTTACCACCATCAGCGCCATCCTTTTAGCACTCTTCGTTGAGCAATTGGTACCTACAGTTTACAACCATGGTCTTTTCTATGCCATCTGCGATGTCAAGGGTGGTTGGACTTCTCACTTGGTCATTCTCTATTATGTAGGTTCGACTGGAGACGAGACTATATGATTCTGCGGCTGACATTGAGTAGCTCAATTACCTCACAAAATACCTCGAATTGATTGATACGGTTTTCCTTGTGTTAAAGAAAAAGCCATTGAGTACGTAGTCACTGCTTTGCGGTTCCTGCCATGTATAAATGCTAACTTTTTCGCGCGAAGCTTTCCTTCACTGTTACCACCACGGCGCCACTGCTCTTTTGTGTTACACACAACTCATTGGATTAACCTCTGTGTCATGGGTCCCCATTACTCTTAATCTGATGGTTCACGTTGTCATGTACTGGTACTACTTTCAAAGTGCGCGTGGAATCCGTATCTGGTGGAAGGAATGGATCACCAGACTCCAGATCATCCAGTTTGTCATTGATATTGGTAAGGCAGCTCAAATCCCCAATGAGCCACAAATTCCAATTTTCAGCTTGCTGACGTACCCTTCACTATTCAGGCTTCGTTTACTTTGCATCCTACACCTACTTCGCCTCAACCTACTTCCCCAACTTGCCAAGTGCAGGTAACTGCGCCGGAGAAGAGTTTGCAGCTTTCGCGGGTATGGGTATTATCAGCTCTTACCTTTTGCTCTTCATCTCCTTCTACTTTGCAACCTACAAGAAGGATGGAAAGCGCCCCACGGGTCGCAAGGCTGCACGATCCTTGGTCGATGCCAAAGTTCCCGATGTCGCCACGCTTACACACGGGAAGATCAATGCAAGCTCCTCAAATGGTCGCGCAACAGGCGTGAGCCCAGCTCGTCCCGCTACCCGCTCCCGCAAGGCATAAATACGCACTTCGGGATACGACCCTACACAATCAGCACGACCGTGATGGTCGACGCGATTATGCGATAAATGATAATGGATAGTTAACTCGTAGCCTCTTCCGAAGCGAGTGCACAAACTTTCTTTCAGAATTGAGACTTTCTCCTTGTATAATGGCTTTTGGCGACACGACACAGCTTCAGACGTGGCGTCGCTTCTACAATCTTTTTTCTTATGTTATAGAAAGAAAGAAAGAGAAAATATGTAATGAATTGCCATTGCCGGGCAAATGACAGACAGCATGGGTGGTTGGTTGGGCGGACCTAAAAAAAGAGCAATTCAGATTTCAACAACCTTTTACTGAGCACTTCTTACGTTTTTTTAATATCGCTTCTTTGTGTGATGTAGGACAATGGTATGGTTGTTGAGTGTCAATTCAATGGGATAAAATATTGGCGTGTGGTTTGCGGTGTGCGGTGATTGGGAAAATGAATGAAGTGAATGATAGCATAATAGATAGACGAAGATCTTCTGAACTTGTTACTGGTTACTAGTTACTTGAGTACGTGTCTGTTATTTATTCCTGATGCGTGCGTGTTGTGATGGTGATGGTGATGGTGATGGTGATGGTGATAGGTAGGTATATGGATATTGATATGATATACGGATATAAAATTAAATATCTGTTTCCTGCGTGTTTTTTTATATTATTATTTTTGTCTATCTATTGCACTACTACACTACTACACTATGATACTCGAGTTTTTGGTTTTTGGGGGTTTACAGTATGGATTTACTGTATGGGAGGTGGTTATGGGTTGGGATATGGAGATGAAGATGGGAGATGGGAGATGGAGATGATGGTGGTGGTGGTGGTGGTGGTGATGGCGGTGGTGTGATGGGGAGGATGGGTATTGGGAGATGGGTATTGGGAGATGGATGTGGATGTGGATGTGAAGTAGACGGTGGTGTTGTGAATGGGAAGATGGGGAGGATGGGAGATGCGGGATGTCGGTGGTGGTGTTGTGATGGGGATTGTGATGGGGAGGATGGGGTAAACAGGAGATGGGAGATGCGAGATGCGAGATGGTGCAGGTAGCAGGTTGTGGAAGGAATGAAATCTTATGTGGATTGAGGTGAGGGGGAGAGGAGAGGAGAGGCGAGGAGAGGAGGGGAGAGGAGGGGAGGTGATAAAGGGACTGGCTTGGCCGAGGGCGAGGACGAGGACGAGGACGAGGACGAGGACGAGGATGAGACCGAGAGCTTGGCAATGTATATATAGGAAAGAAAGGAAGGAGAGGAGAGGAGCAGGAGTTGCTGTAGACAATAGACAGTGTTGTCCACAGTATTGGGGTAAGATGCATAGGTATGAGATAGAATATGAGACAGAGGTGCAACGGACTATTTTCGTCCTGTAAAATATCTATATATAAAACTAAGTTTCATGAATAAGAAGAAATTGTTATATACTCGAGTATAATAGAAGGGAAATAAGCAAGTTTTTTCAGTTATTCGATTTTTTTATAATTATTGGTATCGGTAGTTGGTACTTACTCGAGTAAATATTGAAAAGGAAAAAAAGTGCTAGTTTAATGGATTGAGTAGTTGTTTGTTTGTTTCCTTGTTTGTTTGTCTGGCATCTTATACTGTACTATACTGTACTATACTATAGTATCTTGCCCAGCAGCAAATAAGTCGAGTTATACTCGTAGATAGATTTCCTTAATACACTTACTACTTAATATACTATATAGTATAGACTCTCTATAGTATAGTAATAATCCATTCACTTATATATATACGGAGTATGACTTTTTGTACTTCATATTTCATGCACAGTATTTCTTGGATATAAATAAATAGCCTCTACTGTACTGAGTTACGGAGTTACGGAGTAGTCCATAAATACAATATCTCACCTGTCATATCCTATCCTATCCTATCCCAGTACCACGGTTCAGGTACAGACTGACTGTTTGTTACTCCTGGATATGGATATGGATATGTACATGGATATGCACATTGCACATGTACATGCTCCATATCTGGCTGGCTGGCTGCTTACTTACTGTACTTTTTTTTTGGTTGTCTTCTACCTTTCTTACAGAAAATATCTTACTATCTTACTCGAGTAGTATCTTACAGTACTCAGCACTCTGCTTATGCTATGCCATGCTATGGACCTATGGTGCGCGATGAGATGGATGGTGAGATGGTGAGATGGTGGCTGGAAATGGTATGAGGGGAAGGTTCATGGATGGGAAAGAGGATGGGGATGCGGATGGAATAAAATGGGATGGGATGGGATGCAGACTTTTGTATTTTCTTGAGGAGGGGGCGGAGAGGGAAGGGGGGAGGGAATGGGTGGGGGGTACTGTAGTGAGATTTGGATGGTGAGAAATGGAGGGTTTTTATTGAGAGTGGCTTATTCAATAAAGTGTGTTTTGATTTAATGTGGGTTATGGAAAGAGGATGGGGGTGTTTGAACTTCGGCGCGGGTTGGTGGTACTGTATGCCAATGTATGGACTGTACGCAGTATGGAGTTGAGTTGAGTGGGTGAGGTTTGTGTTGGTTGGGGATGGTAAGGTATTATATAGTATAGTGAAAATAAAAAGGTGGCGATAATAATGATGATGATATAAATACAAATTAGAATGAGAATAAGAAATAGGAGAATATATATTATATTTGAGTATATATGATATTGGAAAGCGAAATTAAGAATTCATACTGATACTATAAGAAGGAGAAAGGAAGGATTGAGAATGGAGACTATCTATAAGCTAAGCTAAGATAATATGAAGAGATGAGATGAGAGATGATGGAACAAACTACCTAGGTATGCTTCTTTCTCTCCAAGATCTTTCATACATAACTCATGATAACGAACGTTCAATGGAGGTTACTGTATAATAATGAGTTGATGACAACGCAAATGAGAACCAAATAAACCAACACTAACACTAACAGTGTCTCTTGTCTCTTGAATTGTGATGAACATTATCGATGAACATTATTAGGTATCTTCCCGTGTTATGTTATATTCTCAGCTCTCAGCTCAGAGATAGACATCTTGACGTCAGAACCCATATATATATATACCCCATTAAAACTCAATATCTTACCTATCATATCAGACAGACTATTAGACTATCAAACTACGAGTATCAGACAGACCGAACTGTTGGAAATGTCTGTCTCGGATCAAAATACAGTACGAGTATTTATCTATACTATATCTAGTATATATAATACAGTACTTGAGTACTACGAGTATAGAGATATGAATATCTACTACTAGGTAACTTTTTTTTGTATTCGAGTATATAAATCTATTTATATTTTATGTTTATATTTATATTTATATTTATATTTATATTTATATTTATATTTATATTTATATTTATATTTATATTTATATTTATATTTATATTTATATTTATATTTATATTTATATTTATATTTATATTTCTATTTATATTTATATTTCTATTTCTATTCATCCATCCATCCATCCAGGCTGAGTTATCGTAAAGTACTACTCGAGTAGATATATACTAATTATATAATACTATACTCGAGTACTGTACTATGATGTTCAAAAATACCTACCTAAGAAGCTACCTAGGTATATTCAAGAGATCCACTAGTACTGGCTGATACTGTACTACGCCGTAGTACGTACATACTGAAATACGTTTGAAAGTTCCAGCATCTCCAAGCCATCCAAGCACTCGCCCGTCATCCTGTATGCATACACATTAGACTAAAAACTCCGCTTCCACATTTCCCACATCCATCCATCCCGTCGATAATGTGATGCACTTCAGTGGAGTGGGGCATTCACTCACTGGGTTGATTATATTATATTGATACAGGCCTTGCGTAGTTACAGCATTACAGCTCAGCATAACATTGTCACTTAGATACACTATCAAGATGATACGATACCGGTACCATAGGTGATACTGTAAACGAACAGAGTGCCGTGCCGGTGCGACAGTCATTCGGAATATATTATATCTTTCGAGGCTGGATTGGATACCTAGGTATGTAGTATGTACTGTATTTACAACGTGGATACATGCTGTGGTATGATGTATCACTGGTGTGAAATGGAATATATGCGAGAGTGTTACAGTAAGTGGGTAAGGAAGGGAGTGAAGAGAGAGAAAATCGGGGTCTGAGTACGTACACTGGTAGGTAGCATATAACCTTACCTTACCTTTCTTTACCTTACCTTTAGATCAAATTGAGGAACGGAACTACCTACCTAGTATTTATTACCTTCACTTTAGTAAGGGTATAGTAATGAATGGGGTCCAAATTTCTAAAAGAAGTCTAATCATGGAAATTAGTGAGGGGGGTAAGTTGATTATCACAATTATAAGAAGTCGATCATTATCTACTTCGTATCTACTATGTACCTTTTTGGTATCAACTACGTATCAGTAGTTACTGAGATGAGAGTCAGTGGTTACATAAATTGGGATAAATATATTATTTCATGACAAAAACAGGTATACAAGTACACTGTACAGTAAGTATATTGAAGTCCCGTCCGTCCCGTTGTCCCTCCTGTGAGTTCGGATCGTTTATTGGGTGAGGATTTATTAGGAAGATGGGAAGATGCCAAGATAGACAGACGGCAGTTAGTACTCCGTAGAGTAGGAAGAAAGGGTTTGAATCTTTGAAGTTTGAAGGATGTGATGGGGTTAAAGTTTAAGTTTAGCCCCAGGGTCAATTGATTCAGGGGTTTAAGCAACTAATTGTGTACCGGTAGTAGTAGTAGTAGTAAGTTCTAGGCTGGTAGCAAACCGACCCAGCCAGTGTCACGAACTTAATAAACTAAAACTACCATATGGCATAGGGGTCCGGTCCGTTGGTTCCATAAGCCTTAAGGTACTCTTTTTTATTTTTATTTTTTTATAAGCGCTGGAAGCAATCCTATCAGCGCGCATTTTAAGGTTGCTTATTAAACTAATTACTCAAGTATAGTATTCTACCTCCCGTACCTAAGTACCGGTAAATGAATGGGATTGCGAAATCTGAATGAAATGATGGAGGTGGTGCACAGATGAAGAAAGAAGAAGAAGATGATGATGATGATGATGATGGAAAAAAAAGAAAAAAAAAGATTAAAAATGCTCAAAAAGGAAAGAAAGGACCACGGACATTTTAGTTGTATGAGATGAGAGGAAAACATTATTGGGAAACGTCTCACGATGGATGTGACGTTCTGTAGTACTCAGTAACTAGTATTGTTATCAGAGAACCCAATTCGAAACGAAGAAACAAACAAACCATTCTCGTACCGTACCGTACCGGGAATTGGGAATCGGTAATCGGGGAGTTAGATACTAGAAACACTCTAGAGATGCGCTTAGAGATGTGCTTGATGTTGATTGTTGATGTTAATGTTGCTGTTGCTCTTGCTGTTTGTAATTGGTATGTAACAATGTGTGTATGGTATGGTATGGTATGGTATGCTTGCTACATGTACGAGTACAGTACGTGCGTTAAAGCTTGGAAGTACTACCGTGCTGTGCTGTGCTGTTGTTGTACTGTACTACTCCGTATGTGCGAGTTGAAGAAGCCATGAGCAGATAAAACGGTGATCGGCGTTTGTTTTAAATCACTTTATACAGTATGACGATGGAAGGTTATAATTACAGATACCTGCGCTCGAGTCAGGATCGAATTTAATAATAGATATAACATATGACGGTATGGTATGGTATGGTATAGTATCTCTCAGGTTAAATTCCTTTTGTTATACCTACTGTATGAATAAAAATAGTACGAGTGTGTGTGTGGGGGTGGTGTAATATAATAATAAGGTCTTGAGGGTTGTTATGGTGATTTGTGATTTATAGAGAACTATCTATCTACCTATGTACTTTAGGATTGATTCATAGATCGATGGAATGGATGGTGTGGTACATACAAAAAATGCGCCCGTCAGTCTAACTCAGCCTGAAGATTTCACCAAATTCGAGATTTACCAATACTATAATAGTTTCTCTATGAATAGTTTGAGGAAGGGGGGGGGCAGGGGGGGGCCTAAATGCTTCCTAGAGGAAGGAAGCTGGAAAAGATCGGTGTGAAGCTATAGTGCTACCTACCGGTTGGTACAAAGTAGCGATCTTGGACTTTACAGTTATATTGTACTCGAGTAATATATATTTTTAAAAATTCATGGATTCATAGATTCATGATTCATGGATTAACCAGTCAAAAAAAAAGAGGATATCGAGCATTGATGCCGTACTCCCCCACAGATCCTCGAACCAGGGAGAGGGGAAGGGAATAAGAGTGTTGTGTGTTTCAGTGATTATTATTAAGTGGTTGGTCGATTAGATCATAGACGGAATACTCGTAGTTTCTTTCTAAAGCCATCATGTATCATAGTAGTTGTGGCACTTCCCTCGGTAGGATGGATACTGCCGTACAGAAGTAAGATGATGTCTGTGTGATTCATTCAGCCCACTGCCCACTTGCCCACTTGCCCACAGCCCTCGAAGTTGAGGATTCTGAATTATTTATAAAATTTGATTTGACGGCATATATTTAATTCCATCGAATATTGAATTTTCTGAATCATATAAAATATAAATAATTCATTTGGTTGGTGCGTATATTATTGCAACGGGGAGTTTCCATGAAAGAGAAGAAGAAGAAGTTCAAAACTTCCCCCTGCCTCTATCTAGTATATCGAAGTATATTAAAGTATATCTTCTACTCCGTACAAATACAATATACAATATCAAAATCCCCAAACTCCGGAGCATGGTTGATAGATAACCATTGCATGAATAACAACACAACACGCGCAACACAAAAAACTCACTGAATTAGCCGTGGCACTCCCCTTCGAATCTTCCGTTTCGTTCATCACCTTACCCTTGCTTATAACAAAGTACAAATCTATATACTTATATCCGCATTTCAGCAGCAGCAGCAGCTAAGTATGAAAGTGAGCATATCACCTCATCCATAAGTTCATAACCCTCAGCAGATCTTTCCAAGATCTAAACCTCTTGGATATCAACTAGAGCTTACTTGCATTGCCTATCCCTATCAATATATACCCACTACAGCAATTATCATCACTATCACTCACTCTACCCGGGACCGCATCTTTTTATAAAAGATTTATTCATCCCATCTTTGAAAATAATTTTGTTTCTGAGACCTTTTTGGCCCTTTTAAATTCCTTTTACTCCTCTACGGTACTCGTCCTTCTCCTCCTCCTTTTACAATACATACTACTGTATCTACCTAGGCACCTATACGAGTACAGTACATACTTGAATATACAATTGCAGATTTACTTAACCTTATATCCATCTCTCCCCTTAAAACCAATCATTACTCAAACAAACTTTCATACAATATCGATATTCGAGTTAGAAACATTTCATCGAAATTCTTCCAAAGTATTTTTATAGGTCCTCGATATTACAGCCCCATTTATTTAAATATATTACCCTTACTGGTTTACTCGTTACTTTCAATTTTCTTTGGTCTCCCCCGCGGTGGCCGCCCATTTCCCAAATTCCCAAGTCAAGTTTCGGTTCCTACAAAAAGACATAAACTTGAAACGACGTACGTTCACAACTTCTACCCCAAGACAGGTATAAATCAAACGTCTTCCCTCCTAGCATAAATTTTAATGATAAGAGAAACTTTACCTGACTTATATTCATTCATAGTGTTAAATTCTCAGACACTCACTCATTAGACAGACATCTTTATGTTCTCGATATCTCAGGGAATTTCACACCAATTACCAAATATCCTTGACTCTCCTGAAAATCTTATTATATATATTATAATAAAAAGCTTGCATAGCCTTTCATAACTACTCAACGGTTTAACTCATCAACCTCGCCTACTTAAGAGATACAGGAACCAGGGCCCACACAAGCACTTTATATCCTTGAAGAATAAGGATATCTCATGCCGAAGGATAAAGACATTTAATTCGTTTCAAAAAAACTTGGTCCCTTTATTTCCCAAAGTTCAACATGCCTCTTATGAAGAAGTCATTCCCATCTAGGGAATTGGAAATCGAACGACCAAATTCCAGAGCTTCGATAGTCTCAAGTTTCGCCAATTTCGACTACGACGACAATTCAAATATTGACATTGATATGGAAGCTTCAGTGATGAATAGGTCAAGGCCAAAGAAGACGCCCAGCATGCCCAAGATACCCAAGATACCCACTATACCTCAGAGAAACAGCAAGAGAACTTCGACGATATTGAACAATGTTATGACGGAATTGAAGTGTATGGATGGCTTTGAAGCTACAAAAGAGGTGGTGGTGGAAGAACCAGAATCTGAAATATCAAATCCTCATGAATTATATCTTTCGAGCGAAGAAGATGCTTCACTCTCAGACACGGACTCGATACTCGATTTCGAAATTGCTCCTCCTGCCAAACACCCTGGGCCTCGAAGTTCCTCTCGTGCATCTGCTGAAGTAACCGCAAGAGTAGTCTCCTTTACTCTTGTCTCAAAACCTCGAGTGGTGGAAATTCCCCGTCCTACAAGCTTTCACTCGAATCCCACATCTCGCAATGTTTCCCCTGTCACCGACTATCAAATCCGCCATTCAGTCGCAGGTATCGCATCATTAGCGCCCATCCCCTCACCACATCCTCCACGACGAAGCTCCCGACAGAGCTCACCACGTCGAAGCTCCGCCCGTCGTCTCTCCATCTCATCACTGGGTGCCCTCTCCAAAATCAACACAAATTACCCCAATGCCTCCAGCATGACCCTCCCCCAACAACCCTCCAAACTCAACTCCACCACCACCTTCTTGCAACCCGTCTCCGCCTCCTCCAATCCCTCCCCCCAACACGCCTTCCTCTCCTCCGACCCCTTTCCCTCACCCACGCCCTCTCCCCAAAACGACAACTGCCCAGTCTTTTCTGAACTCGAGCAGAATTTCCAATCTCGCCGTCCAAAATCCATGCAACCCGAACGTCCTAAAACACCCAATAGCCTCATGGAAGGTCTCCAAGGCCTCACTCGCTCTTTCACCAAATCCGCCAAGAAACGTCCCAGCATGCCAAAATTAAACCTGACATACACATCCAACATTGTTCCCACCACTCATAGCAATACCTCGCGATCATCATTGGTACACAGCAATACATCGAAAACGAGTTTAGTCACAGTCGATGAGCGCACGCCTAAAGAGAGTAAATTCGGGAGCATGAAGAGATCATCCACGGCACCCATGTTTATGCATGAAGAAAAGGCAAAGGGAAGAAGAGCTCAGGAAACACAATCGGCGATCGAAGAGAAAGCGCCACTGAGATATGAGGATATCATGAGAAATGTCATACGCGAACCACCACCAAAAACCCCAATCACTCCTCAGAGTACGAGTAGTCCGGGTTTAATGGGTTGGATGGGTATGGGTATGGGAAATAGAAGGAAGAGTCTCAAGAAATAAATTCTTGACTTTCCTCGATGTCTACTGATATATATATCATTTTGTTTCTTTTTATTTGTTTTATTATTTTGTTTTTATTTGTCTTTTCAACAGCATAGCACAGCACAGCACAGCACGCTCTACTCTACGATACAATCTTACACTCGTACCTCGTTCACCCATGACAGCTGATTCGGGCGATTTTTCTTTTTGGCCCTGGAGTTTTTGGTATGGGATTACTGGTGATACAATGATCGCCATGGAGGCTATCTATCTATCTTGATATCTATCTTGATATTTACTTCGTTTATTTTTTTGGGGGTTTCTATCTATCTATTTCCGTAAGGCGTTTGGGATGGGTCCTCAGGGAGGTGATTGATACCTTTGCTTCTTACTACTTTACTATATCTATCTCTGCCAGCGCGCATTGCATATGTTATGTTTATAACATCTCGTTACTGTTTGTTTTGTTGACACAGTTGATCGATCGATGATCTTTTTTGGATGGATTATTTATGGTGTTGGGTGTTGGTGGTGGGTGCGGGGTGAGGCAAAATTCCTAGATGGATGGATGGAAATGTGTAATTTTTACTGGGGAGGATGGGGTTAGGATTGAGTCCAAGAGACTTTCCTGGAAGAAAAGAGAGGGGAGGAGAAGGGAGGAGAAGGGAGATAGTTGCGCAACATACATATGTTTGCAGGGAGAACATGAGATGAGAATCATGAGATGGCATGAGATTGGATAGGATAGGATAGGATGATGGTGTTTAGCATAGCATTCAACACAAAAATAGCATGACAACTCAGAACTAGCACTGCCATTCATTCATTCAATCATCGTTCATCCATCCATCGAATCACGCCAATTTTTTTACCATAACGATGAACTACTTACTGTAGACACATCCCATTCCTATCCTATTCTTTCTTTCCACCTACCTCCCTCCTTCCCTCTCCCTGCATCACCCACCATATGTATACATACATACCCCATCCGAGTCGCAATGGAAATACATACCTACCTATCTAGGTATCACACACACCTCCGAATATCCAATTAATAATATACAACACAACACAGCCTATACAGTATTACAAAAAGCACAATTCATACCAGTTTTTTCCCCCAAACTATCAATACTACCTACTTACTGTTTTCCTGTATAGATTTCTATACCTATACCTGCTTGCTTGCTAGATCAAAACCACTAATGATAAAGCAAAACCTCATTTGTAACTTATACCTATACCCATCCATACCTTTTCGTTTCGTTTCCCAAAGAAAATTATACTGTACATACTGTATGTATGTATAAAGTCTCTAAGAGTACTCGAGTAGAGTAGAGTCGAATTGTCTATCTCCATACAACTTGAAGCGGATATGAAAAATAGGGGATCCCACCTTCCCCCCCCAAAGAAAACCAATCAATCCTCCAATTATATACCCGTCTCGTTTTCGTCCGCGATAAATATTCGCTTGTTTTGTGTACTCGTATATTGAAGAGATATTATTGAAGAGATTACCGGATCCCAGTCGATAATGTGGGGTGCGATATCGTATGCCAATGCTTAATGCTAATGCTTGTTACCCTGTTTAACATCGAAGAATCGGATATGTGCTCTTTCTGGGAGAAAAAATATTACGAAACGATATATATATTAAGGGTACAGTACAGTACTGTACCGGTATTTATTCCCAATGGGAATATCCCCAGTATCCTCTCTTTTTTTTTTTGGAAATTCAGTTCAGTCCAAAGTACGAGGTGATGACAGTACTGTAATAAATATACAGCCAGCAGCTCCTCAATTTATAGCAAGAAGATATGATACTTTTTGAAGTTTAGTTTGGAGAGAGTTTCTAATGTTCTTGGCGTTTTCTTTACTGATGGATTGTATTATATGTAATATATGGAATATATGGAATATAGGGAATATAGGGAATATATATGAAGCGTGATTAACTCCAGAAGACCGGGATGAAGGCGAAATTGGACAACGAATACCAAGGAAGGATGATGTATTATTCTAGAAGGGTTCCTCCGAGTCCCAGTATGTTGTCCTAGTATGTTGTCCCACTACTGCGTGTTCAACAGTTCATGTGGGTAATCGTATAGTATATGATATGCGAGTGATATGATATGATATGATATATTTGTGGTATGATGGGATGACTTATGATCCCTGTCATGCCATAACCGAATCTAAATGTGATTTTGAATCTGAACCACAGTAAATTTAAAGTTAAACGGTTTTCGTCATGTTTGTACAATATGCAGGTATTAAGTTCATATGGGAGATTGTGTCTTATTTTTCTTGGAACAGGTTGTTGAATTCGAAATTAAAAGTCGCGGATCTGAGATCTGTCTGAGATTGTAATTTGGATATTTGGATGGGTGCGTGAGGGGTGGATGGAGGAATCAGGGGTTTTGGGTAGCACGGTTGTGTTGGCGATTTAACGCGGTTGGCGCGATTGTCTTTTGGTCCTCGTTCTTTATAGTGGATCGCTGAACAAGAAGGTTTTCTCGGGAGTACAATGCCTTCTTATAGACCCGGCACAGAGACACCACAGACTATTGTGTCCCTTGGCAATAAATCGAGATGCTTATCCTGCTTCTCTCCCTCATCACACCGGTTCCAGAGAAGCTTCTTTCGGAAGTTACGAGTCGTTAATCACTACTGTATGAGTACTTCGTGAAAATCAATCGTCTCTCAGTCAAGATCTGATAGCCCAGCGAGAGGAGAGTGAAGCGTTATGTTCTAGAGTGAGATACCAAATATAAAATCAAGAACGGCTCACACTTGGTCAAAAATATGGCTAAAAAATTGTTCATCTCAATAAGGTGTTGAAGTATTTCTTGGAAGGGACATTCTGGAAAATATCAATACTCATTAGGGTAAAGAGATTTTGGGCGAATTAGATAGGGGATAATGGTTATGTTGTTTGGTAGACATACATCTAATCGCCGGTGGGTACCAAAACTCGCCACAAAGAAAAAAACTTATCCTGTGGAGAAAATCTCTTTTTAAAATTGATACATAAGTGCAAGTCGACTTATCCCGCCCCGCTTCACTAAAAGTTTTTCTATGAGAAGATGTCCTCCGTCCAGCGAAAGGAGAACTTGAGAAGTATTTCATATTGATATTCGTTGTTATGCCAATATTTTGAATGAAAAGGATTTTATATCAAGGAACCCTGCATGCAATACGCAATACGTTATTAGCCTACATCTACAATCTAGACCAACAATTGAATGAAATTTTTGAACCGTATTATAGCAGGAGGATGACCTCTTGCAAATGAGATTGGAGGAGGTGACTTATAGGTCAACGAAAGATAAGCCATACACATATCCACCAAGAGTCTTTCTATAAAGAAATGTTCTCCACTCCGCGAAGGGAGTCAACTCGCCGCTAAAGCTAACAGGGTTGTGTTCGCTTGTAGTTTAGGGCACGTGCCACCTTTGCTAACTGCTACCAAAAATCCCGCTCTCCTCAAGAAAAAAGCTTTCCCACTTCAAAAAATCTGCAAAAAAGAACATTGAACATTATAATCCAGGAATAAACTGGTAGAACTCTCTGACGGGGAGTCGAACCCCGGTCTCCCGCGAATAGTCACGAAGTATGACAAGCGGAAATCATGACCGTTAGACCATCAAAGATGTTGTATGTTGGTATTGTTGAGAAACATTGTATTACTTTGAGATATCAAGCGTTGAAAGTGGGGCATATGATTGGAAGACTAGTGGCAGAACGCTCAGAATATTCGGAGATAACGAAGTCAAAGCGTAAAACAGACGTTGAGGCTGTCATCATCAAGAGCTCGAGCTGGTCGTAAAGTATCCTTAGACACCCGAAGGATAGCAAGCAAGAGATGACCTTATCACTGCTATACTAGCGAAGTAAGTGATCTGATCCTCTACAACTCCCATTATTGTGACAATAGTTAGGCTCTGAACCTCGGAACGGAAATCGAATATTGAAACTTGGCAGTTGGCTGCTAAAGTTCCAAAACAATCAAGATAACCTTCAACTTGACATTCTTCAAACAGTTTTGATGGAGATGCAATAATTGGATATCAAAGACACGTGAAGTTCAATGGGTTTAGAAAAGATTGTAATCCAGGAAAGTGGTGGAGACTTCCAAACGTGTATACAATGTAGATAGGTCAGACTAGCTGCATTAATCTCTTGATTGTATAGAAAGAGGCTTGCCAGAAGATTCAGGAGGAATCCATACACCACTTGTTTGAGGCCTCATTCTTATACCCAATATGTCTCCTTAATGTTCTATTCATAGTCAAAAGGTACAAAGTCTCCAAATGTGTTGATAAAAGTGGACTTCAAGTACCTGTTAATAATCGTCAAAGTCGGGGCTTAAGTGAATGTATCAATAACCAAGTATGAAGATGCAGACAATTCCGATACAAGTTGATAGTTGATATTTGACACATTGTGATAATGGGATTTGTTTGATGGATGAGATAGAATTGGATGAGCATGGCCAAGCGCTTCCCCGCGTCTGCACAATTGCATGAGAATTGCGCTAACGATATATTCGGATTAGTGCAGCTCATATTTATGATGGCCTCAGGCATTATCAACAAAAAATTCGCTAAACGAGAATTCACACACTAGATTTTTCGCAGAAAATTAAGTTCGAACAATATCAACGACTTTTCCGACAATCAACGACAACCACGACACAGGTCATCAATTCGTCGAAATGGCTTCCCGTCCTACAGTCTCCATTTTGTCCGCCGATGGCAAGGCCACCGGCGCCACCATCCCTCTCCCAAAGGTACGAATACCTCCAAACGAAAGATTAAAGTCGATATGGTGGAATTTCGCAATGTTATTTGGAGGTTGAAACTAACGGCAACTGAATAGGTCTTCACCTCCCCAATCAGACCTGATATCGTTCAGACCGTCCACACTGGAATGGCCAAGAACAAGCGTCAACCATACGCTGTGAGCGAGAAGGCTGGTCACCAAACCTCTGCTGAGTCATGGGGTACCGGTTAGTGCAAACATTTCATATAATATGGGAGGACTGGGCAATTAATATAAGCTGGGGGGTTGCGCGCAAAATTTCGAAGAGCAAATTTCCATATTGGGGAGAAGGAAGTAAGCTAATTTTGGTATCTTCACAGGTCGTGCTGTCGCCCGTATTCCTCGTGTCTCCGGTGGCGGAACTCACCGTGCTGGTCAAGCTGCTTTCGGTAACATGTGCAGATCTGGACGTATGTTCGCTCCTACAAAGGTCTGGAGAAAGTGGCACCAAAAGATCAACCTTGGTCAAAAGTGAGAATTTGCCCCTCAAATTTCGTAAGCTTCAACTAATTCTGTATAGGCGATTCGCAACCGTTTCTGCCCTCGCTGCCTCCGGTGTCCCAGCTCTCCTCTTCGCCCGTGGTCACCGCATCTCCGAAGTTGCTGAAGTTCCTCTCGTTATTGACTCCGAAGTTTTCGAGGGTGCTAAGATTGCTCGCACTTCCGCTGCTGCTGGTCTCCTCAACACTGTTGGTGCTTTAGCCGATGTTGAGAAGGTCAAGGGATCCAGAAAGATCCGTGCCGGTAAGGGTAAGCTCAGAGGCCGCCGCCACAGACAGAGACGTGGACCTCTCGTTGTCTACGACGGAAAGGTCGATGGCAAGGAACTTGTCCGTGCTTTCCGCAACCTCCCAGGTGTTGAGACCTGTGATGTTTTCTCCTTAAACTTGTTGCAATTGGCACCAGGTGGTCACCTCGGACGTTTCGTCGTCTGGTCTTCATCTGCATTCAAGGCTCTTGACGATATCTATGGTACTACCACCGCTCCATCTGCCCTCAAGAAGGACTTCCTCCTCCCATCCAACGTTGTCTCCCAAGCCGATATTGGACGTCTCATCAACTCCACTGAGTTGCAATCCGTCATCCGTGCCGCTAGAGGATCTGCGCGCACCAAGCGTGCTGGTGTTCAAAAGAAGAACCCATTGCTCAACAAGCAAGTTCTCTTGAGATTGAACCCATACGCTGCCGGATACTCGAAAGAGAAGATCGGTACCAAGGGTTTGGATGCTGGCAAGCCTGAGAGAATCAACAAAAATGAATTCGCTCAGGTCTTGAAGGAGGATTAAGTGGTTGTGGTCGTTTCTGTTTTCAAATATTCAATGAGGGATGGGACATTGTAGGCGCTTATGATAGCTTGATGGCTTCAAGCGGAGGTCTTCATAAGTAATGACAAATATTACGAATGCCTAAATTTTTAAAAAATGATACCTTATCTCTCTTGCTTGATTCTTCTTTGTGGATATGTGCAATGACTTCTGTCAGTCACCCCTGTCTTCGATGCATTGTGAGCAAGCGCACAAACAGATGCTAAATCCAAGTTTCCCTCTTTGCCTTCTCTCTACCAGCATGGTGGCCAACCGTACTTCAACTGACAAGAACCATCAAACCAATAAAAACTCAACCACCTTATCCCCTAGCGTCTTCCATACATCCTCTCCTACCTCCCTTCAAGCTCTTTCCTTCCACTCCTCTACAACCTCTCCCTCGCCCAAAAATTATCCTCTATCAATCCTCTCCTTTTCCCCCAATACATCCGCATACCGTACTATAGCCTGTATTTAGTATAGCCAGTCATCATTGCTAGATATACGTAAAATGGGAAGTAGTCTAATACCAGGTTTGGCCACTCCATTCCTCCGTTTCCTCCTCTCCCTCCATTCTCTGAGTTCGCGGCGATTATTTGGCTTACTTCGTACGCACTCCCTATCATGTCACGAATGTGGTGATTCCATTGAAGAGCGTCATAAAATAGCAAAATGGTAGAGCGATGAGGGGATCGATGAGCCTAAGGGTAGATTTGTATATGAGTTGGGTTTCGATGATGTGGCTCGCTGTTTAGCACTAATCCAAGTTTAGATGTCGGAGATTGTCATCATGAACATATTGAGGAGTCAGTACTAGGTAAGTTTTCAAGGAAGATTGTGGAGAGGGGAGAGGGAGTCATGATCTTCCTACGGCTTGTTTCAATCTTGAAAGGTTTGAAAAGTGCCGATCTGGACGGATAGGTACGCAATTGTATAAAGAACAGAACTTAAGCCAATCGTATAAACCGGCACGCCGCGGGAATCAGTACGGGGGGGTGGAAGAAGGTTGGGCGAACTGCGCGAGAAATAGATTTGACGGTATTTTTGCGTTTCTCCTGCTGTTACACCGACTAGTTCTGCTCTGAGAACAGAAAATACTGCACTAGATACTACGCTCCAGAAGCCAAGAAATCCACCGGTGGATCCAGCTGGATATTTGTTAGCTTGGAGCTGTGCAAATTATTGAAGATAATGAGAATGCCGCTTCGCGAATATCACAAACCTTCTATATAAAAAGTGAAATCCCCAGGATTTTCCCAATATCGAATTACCTTGGAATCATAGTCTCCTCTTCCTCCAATAGCCAAAATTAAAGTCATGAAGATGAGGCCCATCATGATAATGACTTTCAAATTAAAAAGTGCGAATTCGAATTCCTGATAATACACGAACGCTGATATAATTTAGGGCAATAATGGCAATGAGCATGAGCATGAGCATGAGCATAAGTATTATAGTGACGTGAATAGCTGCGTTGGCCCATCATATTCATTTTCCTCAATCCAAAATTGTATAACTAGTACTGATGCTAAAAGATTAATGGGCTTTTTGATGATGTACTGAAGTTTTTTGACTAAGTACTCGAGTATACATCTAGAATAGGAAAATGAGCTTCGCCAACTCTAAAGAAAATATTCCAATATCAGTGCAAACTACAAAGCAGGATCGATAAATCGAGTAGCAAACCCAGTGCAGGGGGATTGTAAGGGAAGCCAAGTAGCCATTTCCCATGGCAGTCATTTCTGCATAACTTAAGATTGCTACAAGTGCATGTCCGAATGACACGATCCAGAACCGACTCGTGCCAAAGTAGGTCCACTGGTTTGGTGAATTATCTTTCATTCTGCATGTAGTGTCTATACTTAGATTGACTCACGTATTCGAAATCAAGCATGTTCCAACAGCCCAGCCAAGTGCAATCATAGCAAGCTGTCTTGTTCTCAAATCTCGCTTTAGATCCGATCGAAAATTTTCGTTGTACACCGGCATGCTGGGGAAGTTCAATGCCTTCGCATGCCTCCAGCTCCATACAGCTACCATAATTTCGAGGATCAACCTGCTTCATTACGCCCACCAATAAACCAAATTACTAGACTAAAATATTATAACAAATCCCAGAACACCAAACGATAGCTCAGAGGAAAACGAACACGAGAATGAGAAGAAAGGCCGCACGGGATCTTTACAATAGATTATCGAGGTTCAAAGAAGACATTCTAGGTGACTGAAAATGAGGGGTGATGATGGGCTAATGTTACGCCACAACGGTCAAGTAGCAGCGGGAAGATTCGATGGATTCGTTTGAAGTTCTGGAAGGTTGGGCCATGCGCACATTTTCTATCCTATCTCATAGGAGGCATCGTTTGAACTTTGATCATCCATCAAATTGGCGATCAAGCCCCCTAAAACTTGAAGATGCCCAGCACCTGCTTTCCTCAAAACTGTACAGTAAACGGCACACTCGCTTCATGAAGATGCATTCGCTTGCATACTAAGAAGGTGAGATTTCTTCGCGCTGGATTTCACAATTTGTAGACTTCCAACCAATGCTGCTAAAATATATCAATTGACGTACTTCATACTCGGATCTATCCAACCACTCCCTGCATTTGAAAACCTGGAAATGTGTGCTTCCCTCTGAGAAATTCGGATTGAATTTGGGTGATAGTGTATCTCAGGACCGCTTGTTTTCCACACATCAATCATGCGGCATTCTTCTGGTCATGGTTCCCTTCGCATAGGGCCCAAATCGCGACCAATGTAGATCTTTCTCAGAGGAGAACGTGAATGTATATTCGCAGTTCCTGCTGCATCTTGATTGAACATAGCCCAAAACAATGCCGAGCACAGCTTTCGCCGACTTTATCGAATAAAATTATGGCTCGCTAACATCGGCCATGACGGAGAAGCACCCCGTCTCGAAGGTTCCTATATCATCCGCGATAGTGTTATACTATCTTCAGAGCCAGAACAACCCCGAAACAACTCTCGGAACCTGCTAAATCCAAACTATAAAAGGGGATAGGCCCGATCCATGACTGCTGACGTTTCTCATCGTTAACCGAATCTTAAAACTTGAGAAAAAACAAGATCGATTCAGCAACAGAAATCAACACTCACAACAACAATACACATGGCATAAGGACCACCAGATAACAATAGATCACCATGGTAATTCCAAAATTGTCATTGGTGTTGGTGATCATCCTTCGGCTACTGCGGCTGCAGAGCTTACTATATCCGAACCGGCATAAACAAACGACCCGGTACTACTAGGTAGACAACGCACCCCCCATCCGCTATCATTATATCTCATCAACGTCGAGCTAACCCGGCAAGTCATGAACCAACCTCTTTAGTAGTTAGGTGATACAAGACGGGTTGAGTAGGAGGCAATTGTCGAATGGACATGTAGAGAGAGTGATGACGATTTGTGACAAGTGGAAGTTTCATTTGTCATTAAAAAAACCACAAAATCCCTAGGGAACCCAAAAATATGATGTTAATACGGCGTGTGCTCCTGTTTGTCTATATAAACAGTCTGAGCTCCCTTGAAACTCTTTGATATGTCAAACACTTTCAATTTTATCGGATTAAAAGAAAATCCATTCGGAGACCAAAAAATAAATATAATTAGCCAAACAAATGTAAGTCCCAAAAATGCCTGTGCTAAGTGTTCAATTGTAGCATTCGTGACATCCGTGACATCCGTGACATTAATAATTACACTTGACAATGTACTCGTAATATTAGTATCACTGACAATCACATGCTCAAGTCTTCGAGACTAATTTATATAAGAGATCACATGAGAACTCATAAGACCGCCCTTAGAATCGAGTGGCAGCAGCTTACCAATCACCTTTTCATCGCATACTGAAGTTGAAGTTGCGACTCCTGCAAGACTTGGAAGTATTGGATAGTGCTATTGCGTATGACAAGCAGCACGCACATTATTTGCTGTTCTGCGCCGAGTTGACTTCAGCAGTTCTTGATATCTTTCATACAGTATAACGTTCCGGCTAGTGCGTGATATTATGGCATGGAAATTGGGAGCATTCCTTAAATTGCCATAAAGTAAGCAAGCCTCCCTACCAGATTTTACATATCTAGATGATGATATGACTGTTTTGACAGACCTTTGAAATACCTAGTAAGTAGATCATCCTTTCATTGCCAAGCACTGCATTTCTTTGTTACTGATTGAGAATCGCCCTAACAACAAAGGAACCGGAGAACTGGGAAGTCTGTTACGAACAATTCATTGTCCCTTGGGGAACACACATCTCACAGAGGATGCAAAGACATATACAGAATAGTCCAAACTGTTCGTAAATTGTAAAAACAACGGACTCACGGTACCTATAAATGAAGTCTTATTATCTCCCGTTATGAATCTCTCTATCCACTCCAGTTCAATCTCATCGAAACTACGACATCAAGTCTTCCAGCAACAACGCCAACCAAAGTTTCATCATAGCTTTTAATTAGTCTACTCCACAGAAAATTTCCAATCAACCAGCAAGATGTGCATCCACAAACGCGCCATCTTCACTCAGTGTGGTCATATCACCTGGGGCAAGGAAGTTAAAGTCTGCAACCAAAAACTCGCCTTTGAGACATCTCCAACCACATCCACCGAGTGCGAGACAATGTATTCTCACCCAATGCATACTCTCAAGGTCAACAAGATCTGCAAGGAGTGCTTGAAGAAGAGAGGTAAGACGGACAAGACCACAGAGAAGATAAAGCAGGCGTTGAAGGATATCAAAGATAGTGTTGAGAGAATGGAGAAGATGCAAGCTGAACAAGAAGTGACCGAGACTGCAAAGAAAACATTGGCTAGTGCCGATTTGGATGACTTCGATGATTTCGATGATGAGGCCTTAAAGGCCTTGGAATCATGGGATTGAGTCATATGTCCGGTAGATCTTGTAGGATAGAAGAGGATGGTCCGGTACCATCGCAAGTCCAATGTCTTGCTGAGCAATACAAAATACATTAAAACCAGAAAACAGAAAGCGCCAGAAAATTGTACAGTGCCGAAAAAGAATAAAAATGTGAAATAATGTAACACAAAACGTGAACCACAATGAGCATAAATGTAGCGAAGGACTTGATGCTTGCCACTTATTAGGAGAAATCACAAAAACTTGAAAGTTTAATGCCTACCTACGTAACTTCACACAAGTCCCACCCAATCTATATTAAGTCCTGATGTAGATACCGACCAACGTTGGTGAGTATATTGTACATTTATTTTGTAATTGTATAGCTGATCCAGAGTCTCTCTAATACAGTACATTCATCGCATCCTAGCGATAAAGTAAGACGGGCTGGTTTGCTGACGAGAACAGTTTGCCATGCATGTCTGCAATGCGATTGCAGAATGACATACAGTGGCTGTCTCTCGACTCTGATACCCCCCACTCTGATTTTGAATCCGGCAATTCCAGGTAGCTGAAAAGTGTACATGATTCTAATGCCACAAGATCGAACTTAACCCTCAATTTCCTCCACGGTGTTGACCTTGAGCTCAGCAATTCTCAAAATCGTATACTTGTGCTTGCTCCTCACAGTCTTCACTTTCCTATTCCTCCTTTTCGTCTTCTCCTTGATCCTCATTGGTTCCGCTTCGGTACCCATGACTCTCGCTCTGCACTCATATATCCTCTCATCCAGGTAAGGCGTTCCTTTCAAGGTGTAATCCCTCGATCCAATGCTCGAAACGGTGTTGAGGCGTAAAACATCGCCGGGAACTACGCCAGGCATGCGAAAGGGAAGTCTAACTGTGTCTCCTACAGTTACAAGGTATGGCCGACTGTAGATATGTGTAGTCATGAAGTGTGATGATTGGGCAGTGAGAAAGGGAAGCATCTCTCTGACTGAGGGGGATAGTGAGGGTGAGGCGACATTGAGGGATGGTACGATTGGGGTCGAAGATGCGACTGAGGATTTCTCTGGCTCTAAAGATGGTAACGAGAATATTGGGGTAGTATTGCTACTCTCGATGAGTGGCTCGATGAGTGGTTCGACATGTTGTGTGGTAGAGTTGAAGTATCGTGCTCGGCTTGGTAAGACGAAGGTGTGTGGGAGTGTTGCGCTTGGTATCCGTATGTCCAGTAAGGACCTTCTAATTGTCCTGCTAAACATCCTGAAGTCGTAGATGTCGTGCAATTGATCAAGTATTCGATATTGAATTCTACAATGCTGATCTTGTCTGAAGCGTATAAATTTTGATGACTAAGCGAGACTATTTTTACGCTAAGAAATTTGTTATCGATAATCATCGGCCTCGACCAAATTATTTTTTTGAGTCGTTAAATTCCACAACCACCATCATCATAATTCATCATGGTATGTCTGGAACTGTTCACCGGTCTTGATAAATACTAATTGACCAATAATAGCCTCAAAATGAGTATATGGAGAGATGGCGCAAGCTACATGGTCGCCGCCTCGACCATGAGGAGAGAACACGAAAGAAGGCAGCAAGAGAAGGGCACAAAGCGTCCGACGATGCCCAGAAATTGACTGGTCTACGAGCGAAATTGTATCAACAGAAGAGGCGCCATGAGAAGATACAGATGAAGAAGCAGATCAAGGCTCACGAAGAACGAAACGTGAAGTCCTCTGCTCCGAACGAACCTTCAAGCACACCCTTGCCTCAATACTTGCTGGATCGATCGAACCCCACCAATGCAAAGGCACTGTCGAGCGCCATCAAGAATAAGAGAGCTGAGAAGGCTGCTAAGTTCAGTGTGCCGTTACCCAAAGTCAGAGGTATTGCGGAGGAGGAGATGTTCAAGGTAGTGAAGACCGGTAAGAAGACCGCGAAGAAGAGCTGGAAGCGTATGATTACAAAGGTATGTCACTTTGACTAATCGACGGGCAAAAAGCCCATTTTGTGCGAAAATACTAATATTGACTCTCTTCAGCCAACTTTCGTCGGTCCTGATTTCACAAGAAGACCTGTCAAATATGAGCGCTTCATTAGACCTATGGGTTTACGTTACAAGAAGGTATTTTCTTCTCAGGCATTCTGCATCCATGTAGATTCTGACAGTCTCTAGGCAAGCGTTACTCACACAGAGCTCGGTGTAACTGTGCAATTACCTATCATCAGCGTCAAGAAGAACCCACAAAACCCAATGTACACGCAATTGGGTGTTCTCACCCGAGGAACTATTATTGAGGTCAATGTATCTGATTTGGGTTTGGTCACAGCTGGAGGAAAGGTTGTTTGGGGTAGATGGGCACAGATTACCAACAATCCCGAAAATGATGGATGCGTTAATGCGTAAGTTCATGTCCAATCCGCACAGCTTACAGTTATTGACTCTATCATAGTGTTCTTCTCGTTTAAAACTTCCATCTGAAATCAAATCTACATTTACGCATGGTGTTCGGGCGTTGGTAAAACGGAAGATAAAGAAAAGGCTAGTGCAATCTCCTTGGAATTCAAATGAAGGAGGTTTGTACGCCATTTGGTCAGCTTGAGAAAATCAAGTGAAGTCAACATTATAATAAAAATTTGTATTTAAAAATTCTTGGCATGTCTTTTGAAATATATGTGACTGTTGATATAAGCGCTGAACACGTGACCACTTTAGGCAAGCACGGTGGGCCCTTTATCAGCGTCCATAAACTTCGCAGAAATTGCATTTTGATCTCACACAGTCTTCATTGCACCATAAGACATCATGACATTAACAGCATCACAAATCGAATCAAGGGAACTTTTAGCACCTATCAAATTTCACCGAATCTTCAAGATTCCAGCAACGGCAGAACACGCAGAGCTTAAGGTATCATATGCCATCGCAGGACCATCAGATGAGAATGTGCCGACTATCCTTTTTGTTGCGGGCATGATGGCTGTAAGATGGCTAGCATGTTTCTTTGATCATGTGGCCATGGATGAGGGCGTGAGAATACTTTTTATCGACAGGTAGGTAGCATATCTCGTCTACTGTCTGGCTGTGCACTGTATTTCCTTGTTTAAACTTCAGAATTATATTGAACATTCAAATAATTTACTGAGCGAATAGGATTCTTTGCGAAACAGATTGGTTTTAAGTGCTGCTTTAGATAGTGGTTACGTATTCAGGTGGCTAGCCTAGTAATTGAACACTCTCATCTCAATTTTGATGTTTGGAGTATCGATAAGTCCAGTGGCTCGGACACAATCGGATGATTGGTCGCAATATCAATTATATGAATTTACAACATGGTCCGAACTAACGCTTCTCTAGACCTGGGTTTGGGGGTTCTACTCCAGTTCCACTTCGAGACCGTATACCCATCTATCTTGAGACTATCCCTCTGCTCCTCAAGCATTTGAACATTAAACACGTTTCACTTGCAAGCCATAGTGCTGGGACTATATACGCTCTCAATATCATCGCCCGCCTTCCCCATATTATTTGTCCAAGTCGCCCCAGAATCACTCTGCTTTCTCCTTGGGTTCATCAAGACCTGTCATCGACCTACTTCCTTCAATTTGCTGCCATACTTCCCAATAGTATGCTTGATCACTGGAGTTCGGTCACAAAGTTCATTGTGAACAATGCTGCGCCTATGATCGCAAGTTCAGGAGGGGCATTTGCTGCTATCAAATCTTTCCTTTCTACCCCAGAAACCGCCGCAGCAACGCAGAGAGAGGCAGCAGAGCAAAAGTGTCGAGAAGGATATGGTGTATCAATAGAGACGAAAAAGGAGATGGAAACTCTTCTATTAAAATGGGCTTTTCTAGAAGATACGTCGGGCATAAATGACGAGGCAAGATTGTGTTTGAAAAAGACGGATCATTGTAGTTGGGATGCTTGTGAGGATTACGAAGAGATGGTAAAAAATCTAGTAGAGATGTGGACTCAAAGGGTTGAAAGGAATCAAAGTGCGATACTGGAAGTGAAAATTTACCTTGCTGAAGAGGACATGATGACTGGTGAGAAGGGGAAAGAATACTTCCGAAAGTGTTGGACCAGCAAGGATTGGGTTTCGGGAATCAAGGTGAGTTGTGAGCAACTGAAGGGTACAGATCATGACACTGTTCTGGACCCATTCAATAGTCTGAGAGATATTGCGAGAACAGCGCATGAGACACTGAAATGGGAGGCCTGTTCTGCACCCTACAACGATTGACACTCTTACGCCAGCATTGTCTGGAGCAATGTGGGCACTATGGGCAACATTTAATTTCGTATGCACATATTGGTAGACTTTAAACTAGATTATTGCATAGGAGGAGCTGCTTTCATCGACCATGACACAGGCGGATTTTATTGAATATAGGATAGAGCAAAGAAACGTTTAATGGCTCAACACCTTTCTTTGACCTATTATGCCTTAGATGCAACAATCTCTATAGCTGTATTAGTATTTGTAGATTTGAACAATGAAAAGTTACGTACTCTCAACATCAGCAATACTTTGCTGTAAAATTTGTTGCAAAACCTTTGGGTTCTCGAGTTCCTTTTGGATCTTGGAAATGATGCTTTCTGAGAGTTCCTTTTGTTGACGGATCTTGACTTGTCCCTCGTATCGGACCCACGAGTCAAGAACAGACTTGGCCTCAGCAGCGAGGGCGGTTCGTTGCTCGAGTTGGTAAGCCTTGGCCTCGAGCTGTGCGGTTTCCTGTAGTTCTCATTAGCAAAGCCTCCCCGGAACCCCCCCCCCCCCCAACACTTCAATCCACATACCTTAGAAACCTCGAAAAGAGTCTTGGTGATATCAACAACAGTTCCCAATTGCTGAACACTCTCGATTCGAGTCTTGACGGCCTCGGTGTGGTCCGCACGGGCAGCATTCAAGATGTTCTTGATCTTGTTGACTTGACCAGTTGCCCACTCTGAGTACAATGGTCCACCAAATTTGATGACAGATCCCCAAATGCTCAAAAGACAGAACATAGTAACAGTTTCTTCGTTGAAGACATAGTATTCGTTGCTGAGGGCGTATAGGGAGAGACCTCCGGCTGTGGAGAGGATGGCAGTCTTGGAGATAAGGGAGTCGCCTGGGAGGGAATCAAGAAGCGATTGCGCCTTCTTCTTAGGGTCCTCTGCCGGTACGTTGGAGGAAGATGATCGCGAACTCGAGATCGATGCGAGGGCCGGGAGGGTACGGGAAGAAAGAGCTGGTCGAAGACGAGCGGCCCCTACGTTGTGTCAGTCAATCGTGGCCAGTAGCAATTGTGACGTAATTCGCAAGTCAAAGTGTGCCACATACCTAAGGCGCTTCTTGTCAATAGTCGTGATGCCATATTGATATGAGGGGAGGTGATGTACAGCAACTCGAATTACTTGAAAGGCTTGACGAGGTTCTTGACGAGGTTCTTTCGGAATTCGCTTCCCACCAAAGTTTCTTATGTAATGGAGCCTGATGTCTAAGGCCGTAATCTATTTCCGGGATTTATCTCGATAAGAGAAATAAATTTGCAGACAGTTAGACTTATTCACACAATTCACAATGCCTGGCACAATACTTGATTCAAAACGCCCTTCGAAGAGGAAGAGGACTATATCGGATAAAGGTCCCTCGAAGCGCACACGACCCGAAAGTAGTGAAGAAGATTCCCAGGCGCAAATTCTCCTCCTGGAGAGCGAAATATTCGAATCGAAGAAGAATTATAACAATATTGCAAGGCTAATTGGAATTGCACGAGATGACTCTGAAGGTGCCGATGCGTCGATTCTCGCCGCGATATCGTTATGCCGGATCTTTACCAAATTGATAGTAGTTGGGGGTTTACAGAAAATGAAAGAGACCTCGGGGAAAGACGCAACTGTGATTCAATGGCTCAAGGAAAGATATTCAGAATATAAGGTTATCCTTCTCGATATGTTAAGTCAAGAAGATGCTGCGTCTACGGCATTGACTCTCTGCATGAGAATGTTAAAGATCGAAGGGCAGCATATGCGAAACGGTCAAGATTACTACTTTCCTACGGGACTTCTTACGGATATGGTGCAGATTCTCATTCGTCATGGAAGTGACAGTGGTGTAAGGAAAGAGTTTAGTGAGAAGTTCGTTGAGGAATACGATGATGTTCGATTTTACACCCTTGAAGCTATACAGTATGACTACCATTATCTATGTATTATTCAATTACTGACCTCTTAGAAAACTAGTGACAACCACTGAAAACCGGCGCTTAGGCAATGATCAATTTGATACCGCTTATGAGGTTTTGACATCGATATCATCCGTCCCCGAATCAAAGGAAGAACTCGAAGACTTCTACATACCTGCGCCCAAGAAAAAGGCCCACCCTCTTTACTCCTTGACGGAGCATAAGAAGCGAGCACAAGGAGCATGGTTAGCCGTGATGAACATGGAAATGGTGAAGGAAAGAAGAAAATTGATTCTGTCAAAGATTACCGAGTCTATTGCGCCATGGTTTACAAAACCTGAACTTCTGATGGACTTTTTGACCGACTCATACAACTCTGGAGGATCAACTTCATTGCTATCACTCTCTGGAGTCTTTTATCTCATACAAGAGAAGAATTTAGATTATCCATCTTTCTACCGAAAGCTCTATTCGCTTTTGGACACAGGCATTCTACATTCGAAGCATCGCTCAAGATTCTTCCGGCTTTTAGACACCTTCTTATCGTCAACACATTTACCGGTCGTACTCGTCGCAAGCTTTATCAAGAGGCTATCTCGACTCACCTTATACTCCCCTCCTTCTGGAGTCGTTGCGGTCGTGCCGTGGATGTATAATCTGTTGAAGAAGCACCCGACCTGTTTATTTATGATCCACCGAGAGACTAGAGGGGCCGAAGCGAAGAAAATCTTGGAAGAAGAGGGGCTTTCGGATCCATTCCTTATGGATGAGGAAGATCCGATGTTGACCAATGCTATCGACAGCAGCATGTGGGAGATTGTTACACTGCAATCACATTACCATCCGAATGTTGCAACACTTGCGAAAATCATTTCAGAACAATTTACCAAACATTCTTATAATTTGGAAGATTTCTTGGATCACTCTTACGGAAGTGTAAGTCAACATAGCCCTTATATGCTATAATTTACTGACATTGCCATATAGATGCTTGAATCTGAGCTAGCAAAGGACGTGAAGAAGGTGCCGGTTGTTGAATATGAGATACCCAAGAAGATTTTTATGAAGCATGATGTTGATGCTGGGCTGGAGGACTCTCCACTTGTGAAGCTGTGGAACTTCAATTAGATCCTATAAGCTCTAGCAGTCTTAATTTTACATTAAATTGTCCTTTCCCTGAGGTATTCTGAAAAATTACATTTCTCTATGCAATCACCGAGATCAATTGAGGGTGGAGCAAAACTAATGAAGGGGTTCATGTAAATATCTCAGTATACAAATTCGAGGCCGGGGCTTCATCCTTGACTAATAATGATCTCTCTGTTCCTCATCTGTCATCTAATATATGAAAGTGAAGAATATTAGTTCGTGTATCACAAATAACCTTACCTACATAGAGGTATGGGTACAGTTTTGTAAAGCTTCAAATTAGAACACTTATCAGACCTTGCGTAATGGCCTTGCATTGAAGAAACTAGCCCAACGTTATTGCGCCCCTTTCCACAGCATAACATACCTCAGAAAATCGAAAATCTGCGGCAGCGGCAGCGACAATCTTTAATTCGACCAAAGAATAAGCTTTGCATGCCTTGTAATTGAATAAGTGATGGCAGTCATCCTTGGCGGAAGTCGCGGCTGGAAAGCCACACTGCAGATTCACTGAGTGGTAACTCAATTCAGTCAGTCCCACAAGGCTATATTTCTATCCCAGAACACAACCTCAAACCTTTGAGCTAACATGACAAAATGCCTCTCCTCGATCTACTAAAGAAGAAAGATAAAGTCGCAGTAAATGATGCGAACTCTTCACGAGCCGGTCCAATTTTTACATTTATGAGAAGCGTAAGGCCGATACACACAGCATACCAAATGATCCCTCACTGCTGCAACATTGCTAACATGACACAAGGATACACATACACAAGAAGTGATATCACCACCTTCTTTCTCTTCTTCGGAATCATCCCTGCAACCCTCAGTGAGCAAACCTAACAATGAATCGCGAACAAGTCGATTGTTTAGAGGACGGCCTAGGAGCAACTCGCGCGAATCCGGGAACTCGGGCACATCTGGGGCATCAGCCTCTTCACAAGTGAGCGATAGATCCGCGTCAAATTCAGCACATCATAGCAAAAGAATATCTGGACGATTTGGTTTGCGCAAGCATGAAGTAGGATCTTCGCATGTTCCGAGTGATTTACCAGAGATTACAGTGGAAGAAGCTACGCCCGATGCTAAAGCTGCGGAGGTACAATGGGAGAAGAGGGCTACAATATTGGCACAGCAGAATGAGAGATCAATAAGCAGACCAGGCTCATCTTGTGGCAGTCCACCAGATTGGAAGAATAGAAACTCTGGTGAAATTCCGAGGGCAATAAGCCCGAGCAGAAATCCTTCGGGTGTGGTTGCTAGCAGAACTGTAGATGATGATCTTCAGGAAGCTATTCGGCTTCATGAAGAAGGGCACTTGGAGGAAGCAACCAAGTTATTCGCGAAATTGGCAGATCCTAATGGTGCTAATAATGCTCTTTCTCAAGTCTTATACGTAAGCTCTACATGTTCATTTCTATCACAAATTCGCCTGACGTAGGGTCGGTGAAGCTTCAGCTCATCAGCTCATCAGCTCATCAACTCTGTCAACTTTGTCTTCTTAGGCATTGTCGGACTTGCCAGCAAACATCCTCCGTCGAGGAACACACTCCGGTCCAATTGCTGATATTTCACACAGGGTCTTGCTCTCAGGTACGTTAACGCGGCCCCTTATGCGGCCTGCACCACGCCGCCTGATCGAAGAATCAGTCGATCTCTTCCCGATTCCGATAATTGCCACTTCGGGCTCTAACTGACAATATAGACATGGCTGGGGATGTCAAGCCAGTCCAACCGAAGCCGTCACATTCCTGTCGGCAGCAGCATCAAATGCAGCAGCAAGTATGTACCCACCTTGAACATATCTTCGCGTTTCACATGGGCTCCTTTCTGTCATGATCCCTCACATTAGCATAGTGCTGACTTCGTGGACAAGTCGAGGAGCTTGCACTGCAATCCGGAAAAATGAAAGGGGGAGCTGCCAAGGGGGAGCTGGTCATTGCGATTTACGAGCTAGCAAACTGCTTCAGAAATGGTGAGGATGTTCCGCTGAGTTGTCAGCTTTGTTTCTGGCAGACGTCTGCCACGATTCCGGCTCTATACTGATGAACTCTTTGCATCCGTTGATTGCAATTGAGAGTATCAAAAATGAATTCCCTAATTGAGTAATACTGACGTTTTGAGTCTTCTTCAGGCTGGGGGGTTAAAGTAGATCGAACGGCAGCTCAAAAAGTAAGTGGGCTCGATTTATTGGGTCGCGGGTAAGCCCGTTTGTACGTTACTGACCTGGCTGTAGTATTACCAAACTGCTGCCGAACTTGGGGATACAGGTAAGCATGAAGCTTTCGCCTAACTAAGTTATCAGGCCATTCATTGACATTTACCGTAGATAGCATGAATGAGGTGAGCCTACCAAAGTTGTCCTTCCTACTTTGAGGGCGAAAGTCTGCCGACAATTATGTTGGGCTACGATGTTGTATTACATAGATCTTGATATAGGCAAACTAACCATTTGTCACAGGTTGCGCGATGTTACTTGGAAGGGTTCGGTAAGCATCTCTATGTCTCTCGAACAACCAAGTTCGATCTTAAACTCGTAACACTCGTGTTTGCCTGATCTATTACAGTATTAATATACTGACCATTCACCCCACAGGCTGCAAAAAAGACAAAGTAAGTTCGCCCGCCCGTTCGCCCAAATCCCCCACCATCCACTCGAATACCAGCCTCGGATCCAGCAAAGAACTACTGTGACTTGCGCTGCACGCATGGTTCTTTCGCATTGCATTTTGGGCAGCAATGGGGCAACTTTCTCATGCACCTTCAACCGAATCCTGAACCCCTTGTAAACCCTCAAAATATTCCTAGCCACTCAAGATATGAGGCTGATGGTTTTCTTTGAGTATGATCCCGTTGTTACTGGCAATACTGACTCGGATTTCTTGCAGCACCAAGCAGCGTACTATCTTCGCAAGGCCGAAAAGGCGGGTGTAAAAACTTTAGGCAATTCTTGGTGAGCTTTCCTATCTCCTATCCAGAACCCGTACGTAGAGAAATTTTGGGGGAAAATTTTCCGCTTCGTATAAACATACCTGTTTTGGCCTGGTTGCTGTCTTTTCTGCATTCTTTTCGGTAGCAGTCCCACCCCAGTCATTTAGTGATGGTTCGTTCGTTCGTTGTCTTTAGTGAGTGGGGTATGACGATATGCGCCCATTACCCTCTTGCATTTCACAGGTACATTGGTACAGATAATTAATTGGTCCTTATTGTCTCCTCGGCCGTATCGCTTAATGCATCCTTGTAAAGAGCTGTTTGCTGATTCTTATTGGTCACGGCGAGGGTAGGATTTGGAAGGACAAATACAATCCTAAGAAATAAAAAATCGAAAACGGACGCTTCGGCTCAAACAACGGGAACTCAGAGTGGGAGGGGAAGGTTCGTTGGAGATAGATGCCTTTCCGAACGAACGACTAATTGAGTTTGGTTCATGCTTGCCTACTTTTTTGCTTCGCTAAGCATCGGGGGGTCGGGTCGAGGGTGCGAACGCTCTTTAATTACTCTAGTCAGTTGGGCTAGGGGTTTTTTCGAATTGGCCTTGGTCTTAGCTAATGTTGTTCGTTGATATTTTATTTTCTCAAAGAGATATGGAAACGGTCACACTGGAATAGGTGTCTCGGAGTTCTTTAGGCATTGGAAGGTACCTAGACTGGCTTATTCATATGTATCTCTACTAATGCTAATCCTATTATAAGACTTCATTGTCGTCGATTAAACTTAATTCTACTTGTCTTACGCATTGGTATATCGGGTTGTTTGGTTTGGTTTGATTTGGTTTTAGTTTTAGTTTTAGTTTATTTAGGTCAATTTTGCTGCAGTCAGCATCTACCTAATCAAGTAACTGCACTTGACCTACAACGTACTAGTCTAAGTTGTTCATAGACAAGCAAGTTACAACCCCAGATCGGCACAGGTCAAGTGTACTAGTGTAGTCACGACTGAGACATACAGGAACTTGGACTCGTATGCTCACGAAGTGTTGCGTCTCTGACTCTCTGCTGTCTTGTCTTGTCTCTGTCGTGCTGAAATAAATGTCCAGACTCCACAGGTAGCACAGCGCACCTTGGTATAATCCATTATGGCGGGGCGTCGCGGCATTGGTGTAGAAGAGTAGAAGGGGGGTTTCTTTTTTTTTTCGAGCTTCGGTTTCAGATGCTGTTGAGATGCCTTATCTTGTGCCTGGTTTGGTTTATTTAGTTTGTAGTATGTTGGTGTATGGAAGTGGAGTGCTGGTTGTAGGTATGTATGTACATGGTCTAGAATGTATCTTGGCTCTTATTTTTCTGTTTTTGAATTTTATCATTCGTTCGAACTTCGTTAACGGTTCATTTATTTATCTAATGATGTACGGTATGGATTCTTGCGCTTGGCTTGGCTTACATTGCATGTGTTCTCGGGTTAACGGTTAGCACGTTTCATCTTTATGTATGATATATGATATGTTATGATTGACAGTCACCAATCCGGAACCTCAATGCGGAAAAAAATTTCACGGAACTACTTTTAGTATATTCTGTACAGTAGTGTGTACTAACGGTATGGAGACTACGCAGTGCAAGCGAGGGAAGAGGCGTGATGTACGTAAGTATTTTATGTAGGGTAGGGTAGCGCAGGACAACTCAACGCCGCAATGCAAAGGTTAGGTTAGTTGGTAGGTGGGTGGAATTATGAATAACGATAAGTGCGGGAAGGATGGAGGATGATTTACGGTTTGACAGTTTTACATACATACATGTTCGGGCTTGGAAGCTTGGAGGCTTGGGGTGAGCTGGATAGGATTACTATCGAATATGATATGATGTCAAGGTGGTGTAGTACCATGGGGTGAGATCGCTCAAAATAGCCACTTAACCTAGTGATAATCCTTTCGAGACTCGAGAGAGAGTTTTTGTGTTATTTTTTGGGCTTTTCATGTCATATTGGGTGTGTTGTACGACGTACGTACTACTGTACTAGCTATAAAATTTGAACTGCAATTTTCAGATTGGTTCATGAGATGAGATGAGATGAGATGATGGGGCCTAACTGAACGAACTGTGGCTGGATGGAATATGTACAGTGCGAATATTCGTGTAGTTTTGGACTGGACTGGACTTCTGGGCAGGAAAAGAGTCGTTGGGTTTTACGTTTACGAACACTTATTGTTCACGTGATGTTGGCATGTTTTGTTGAAGATTTTGATGCGTGGTGTGGTATGTAAGTAATCAGGATATCGGTATCTACCGTATCGTCATTTCTGCATGATGGGTGGATGGCGTTGCATTTACATAAATGGCATGAATGACATCAGTGAAGTGAAGAAAATAAGGGTCTGGGAGGGTTTGTCATGTATATGTCATGTCATGTCATGTACTGCTATGTATATGCGTGACTTTGAACTTTGAAGTGGTCAGAACTTAGAAGTGAAGATGTGAGGTTGGCCGTTATACGGTGGTGGCCAAGATATGCTATGCTATGCGATGTACTTTGGTGTCGGCCGCTGCTAGCTGCTCCATCTCTACTACTGTCGACTCGAGGATCTCGGTTACGAAACGAAGTTTGCAGTAGTATTGTACGTACCTCGAAGACCAGGGTATTCCTTTGGTTATTGAACACCATGTGGCACGTGCTAGTATACCCGAGTTGTGGAGTAGAGTAGAGACTGTAGAGTAGAGGAGTTCTGGATATGTAGTACCTACTCATGTCGACAGAAAGTCTACTCAGTCTACTGCGTATCTGCATCGATATTCGCGATAGTGGAGGTCCTAATGCCCTTCCCTTTACGAGAAAGGGTAGGGTAGGATGAAATCACTGACTCGAGAAATCCATACATGCAATGCAAGAAGGGTGTTACCGGAGGATAACGCGGCTACGCTACTGTATACTCGTATGTAGTCTTGAAAGATTTTAGGGTGATGATGTAATCTTACCATGGACATGCTGGAAGTTAAGACGAATAGAGCGTTGTGCATTTATATGTATTGTAAATACAACTACTCGGTATATGTAGGTAGGTATGCACCTCTAGTGACTAGTGTCCGGAGGGAGCAGGGTAGTGGGGTGGAGTGGGGGGAGGGGAGGAGATGTAAATAGCGACTACAGTAGTACAGCTGCTGCATAGTATGAAGAAAGTATGAGAGTATGAATGCGAATAATAATGGTACTACACTACTACTACTCGAGTACCATAATGGACGTGTAAAAACGGGATGTGGGGAGAAGACTAACTAGGAGTAGCGGGGGGGGGAGAACTCATATGTGCGGCAATGGAGTACATGTACCGGTACATACAGGATCGCTATTAGAACCTTGCGTGAAGAGAATTTTTTCTGAAACATGAAACACCACGTATTTCACGGGGTGAAGAAATGGAGAATGGAGGTGTTTCAAGATCTGTGGTTTGGGGGATGGTTCATTGGAAGATATGGAGATGGAGTAATGGGAGGGGGTTGTTATTTGATTGGTTGGTTGGGTTACAAGTGGAGTTGAGAGAAGAGAAGAGAGGATATGAAGGAAAGAAAAGAACTGGTGATTTTGTGGGGAATGGAAGGGAGGAGGGAAGGAGATTGGTTGTTGGGATTTGAAATGGAGGAGTGAGTGGGTTTGGAAGATGTTTGGTGGGAATACGGTATGGTATTGTATGGTATGGTACGGAGATACCGATAGAAAGATGGAAGGTACGATTATCGTAATCGTGAGATAAATGAATGAATGAATGAACGAACATACGAGAAAGGCAAGAGCAAACATTGGCGGGACAGACAAGAAGTCTAAACAGAGAAACTTCACTATGACTGGTCGAACACATACATGATGAATCCGGAGAAGGAAGGGATACAGGGAAAGGGCAGACAAACCTACCCTCGAACGAAGTCATTCGAGTAGCACAGTTTACAAACAAGTACTCTGTAGAACCATTATCATCACCATTACTATCACTATCATAATCACAAGCAAGCACAATCAAAGCAGCAGGAAGAATATTTGAACATAAACCTCATGTATTATAGACTATTTTCCTGTAATTCCCCCCCATCTGGTTTTCCATCTCATCTCATCTCATCACGTCCTATGTCATGCTATGGTATAGAGAGCAGTAAAAATTAAATACAAAAAAACCGAGTTGCTAAAACAAGTAACTCATGCCCTCCCATTTATTCATTCATAGACAAAACGGGCCCGAAGCCACAGACAGGAGAATCAAATTAGATACAAGAAACATGTGCAAAGGAGAAGAAGCTGGCTGTCAAAGAAAATATCCCGATAAATGATTCGTAATCGGCCGATGTGCTATGGTATGTTTTGGGTATTTGGAAAAATATCTTTATTTGAATGCATTTCTCTTCATTCATCAGTCATGATTGCATGTCATTGCTCATCGTGAGTGCGAGTGATCGTAAAACGTAAAACTTTCATTTGTTGGGTGTATGTATGTATGGTATATGGATAGGATGTGTGTATATGTGAAGATGATCACCCATCGTATAGTTCAAAGCAAACGCTTCGTTGGAGCAAACAGTTTCGTGGGAACAAACTTGGAAAGGGGTGTATCTGCGTGATAAAAGTAGGAAAGAGTTGCGTGCGTGCGAGTTTTGTGTGTGTGTATGTGTGTATGCGTAATCTGTATGTGTATCGTATCTTGATGTCGTTGGTAAAATAATATTTATGAAATAGTTCGTGATAACGTAGTCGTAATAAAGTTTTGAGTGGTATTCTCAAGTAAGGAAAATTGGTTGCTAGTCGTAGCTTTGTTGGTGTGCGTGTAAATGCGTGTGAATGTTCCCTTCCCTTCCCATGTCCGTTTCAAGTCCAAATGTGAGGTACATCTCCTTCAATACCCTTCCATCCCCATCCCTATTCCCATGCCCATCCAATTTACAAATATGTATATCCCCTTTGCTGTCCAACTGCGAGCTGATGTCGTCTTATGCCGGCGTGTAAAAAAAACTGATAAATATGAAATTAAGAAAAAGACCCGTCG